GTAGTTTGCAGCTCCATTAGAGTCGGTGACGAGGGTGTCCAACCGCACTTCGTGGAAGCTGGTATCTTTTTAGATGTACAGTTCCCAATGGAAGCAGTTTGTGTAGTTTATTTTGTTGTGTTTGTAGCTCCATTAGAGTCGGTGACGAGGGTGTCCAACCGCACTTTTTGGACTTTCCAGTCCTAATGGTAGCTTGGTTTAGGGATTTGTTTTTGGGTTTGTGTGATTTTGTTGTAGAGTATATTTTGATCTTATATTTAGTTTCCTAGTCCTTTTTGGCGTATGGATTTTTGTATTCCTGGAGTTTGTAGAGTTTTAGTGGAGTTTGGTAGAGTCGGTTTTGGAGTTTAGATATTTTGCAATCTTTTTGTTTGGTATGTTTGTTGAGTGGTGACTTTTCAGCATAAAAGAAAGAGTCCTTTCTTTTATTTTTTTTCGGGAAGGTATGTAATGTAACGGTGCATTTCGCACCATTACAGTAATTTGAACCTTAGTCTCGTTTTTGTTTTGTTAGGTTGAATTTTTTGTCGTTTCTGCGTGTGCCGATGGTCGAGGGGCGGACGAGAGTAATAATCGATGTTTGCTCGCCCGCGATTAGTTAGTCGATTTAGTTTTTCTTGTCCTGGCAACATTTTTGTTTCCCCGCTCTATGGAGCGACAAGCTTTTGCTCTGGTATCACGTTGGCTTCACTTTTGGACCGGCCGCCGAGTGAAATGAAGCAAAGCAAGTTTTGTCATTTAATTTTTTAGTAATCCGTAATTATTTGTTATGGACGAGGGCCTATTTCCTCTTTAAATGTTTGGCCAACCTAGTTGGGACTCGAGCTATTGGTTCGAGTGATTATTTTTGTTGAAAAGGTAAGTTTTGTTCGGCCACGTGCTTCACGCTTGGCTTGGCGGAATTTGTGGTTTTAACTCTTTGTTTAATTGGTTACAGGCAATGCTTATAATGCTTATAATGCCGCTGCTTGATTTGTGAAACATTTTGGGACCCTGGTAAGTGAAATATGATTTCTTGTCAGGGTTATGATTCCTCTTATGAGATAGGCTTTTAACCTATAATTTTTCCTTATTTGCAGATGAATCAGGGTTTTTAGTTTATATCTAAAGTTTTTACAATACCTAAATTGCTTTACTTTCTTATTGGAATGTCCTTGCGTGGCATTCGGTTTTTGTCTCTCGCCGTTCTGACCCCAGGAAATTGGTTTGCTGTGGAGCGCCAGAATGGTAGGAAAAGCTGCTTAGCTGTACGCCATGTTCTGGAGCCTGGGAGTGCTGACCCGCCTCTTCCACCACGTGGGATCCGGAGTGAGAAGTTTTCGGAGTTGGTTTGATTTCATTTCGTTCGGACTGATCCAAGGTCATCGGTATGTAGTTTTGTTATATTTTTCTTGGCGACGTGGCATTGAGCACTGCAGGTCCCCAAGGGGTGTTATTTTTCATTAGAGAGTAGGTCAATGCTATGTCTACCCTTAGAGTTTACTGTTTTGTCTATTTAGTCTTTGTGTGACTCTTTAAAATTTATTTAACCTTATATTTTTCTTATTGGAAAGGATTGCATTAATGACAGTACTAATTTGTGTATAAGAATTACCTAATGTAATTAGAGACATAAGACACATTGTACTCTACAGACACTACGGGATAATAAACGGCCATTAGAACTTAACATCTTGTATTCATTAGCTGCCTCCCGCCTTGTTTTAAAAAGGTTCAATGTTGGCTGAGATGTCCGAGGTATTTGTTGTGTTTGTGGTGGGTTCTGTGTTCTTTTAAGGTGGTATCTGGCGCCCGAGACTTTTATTTTGTTATTTTGTTTCTATTTGATGCCACCAATTTAGTTTTATTTTCTTTAAAACAAACCCCACACATAAATTTTATTTTTTTATTTTTTTATTATTACAGGATATACAAGTTTGTTTCAAGTCTGCCATATTTATTGTTCAGTTTCTTTTGGTGCAAGAGAGCAACAGCTAATTATAACCATATTAGTAATGTACTATTTTCAGTAAAAAAATGCTAATAATGTATGTAAATAGATGAATACAATTTTGTAATTCAATAAAGCAATACTTATTTCAAGGCCACAGTCACCAATTCAATGAGTCAAGATTGCTTTAAATATACTGTTGACATCAGGGTTAATTAGTCACAAGGTGTTAAATTAACTTTATCAACAAATTGCTACATGATTAATGCAAATATACCCTCTACATAATGACAAAAACATAACAATGAGACTAATATGCATGGACAGATTTAGCTATTAGCAAACATGAGAGACATTCCATTAGGTAGATCTATAATAGATTGACTACAAAATCTCGACATACATGTATATATTTCAGATTTAAAAAAAATGCATGTATATCAGATTAATAAACTAGTATAACCATAAGTCCAGTAAGTAACTATACTTGAGGCACACAAGGATATTACATTTACCGTTTCCATTTACATAAATAATAATAATAACTTCACACATCTCACACACAACAGTCTGATCCTAAACTAGGCAGTGCCTGTACTATGGTAACCAGACTGCTGTTAAAATCATACCAGTATCCATAGTAGCTCAAATGGTTAGATAAATAGCAAAAACATTTAAGCAAAGATAATAATGACATGAGTAAAACAAAATTGCTCACAAACTCTAAAGTAACACCTATAGAATTGGACAACCAACCACTAGAATATGTACAGGAATATATCTACCTAGGACAAAAAATCTCTCACGAAGAACAAACAACTAAAGAAAATAAATATAAGAATAGCAAATGGATGGAAAAAGTACTGGTCGCTGAAAGAAATTATGAGTCAAACGAGCTAAACATGTCTACTAAAAGAAAGGCTTTCAACACCTGCATACTTCCAGTCATTACCTATGGCTGTGAAACATGGGCACTCACCAAACTCCACAGAGCTAAACTGGAACGTTTTCAAAGGGCCATGGAGAGAAGCATGACAGGAACAAGGAGGATGGACAAAATAAGAAGTAGTGAAATAAGAGAAAAAACTAAAGTTACTGACATTCTCACTCGAATAGACCAGATGAAGTGGAGATGGCCGGACACATAATTAGAGACAGGCATGGCAAATGGAGTACGACTATCATAATAAGATATTAAAACAAAATCTGTTACAAGAAACAAAATATAAAACTATTTGAGATAAAGGATAAATAAAATACACATTTTGTATCTAGTATATGAAATCCTTTTCAATATGACGATGATGACCAATTAATTCAAGCTTGGTGTGAGGAAGTTTGGCAAGAATTGGTGATGACATATCGAGAAGTAAATTGCGGCCCTTATTATTTAGGCAAACCAGGGGATCAAACTAAAACACCTGGTGATCCTTTACAAGTATACCGCCATTATAATGTCCATTAAAAAACTAATTTATCTTAGTATTATCTTATCTAGAGTATTTAGAAAAGAAGAATTACTATTTACAAAAGTATCTCGTAATAAATAGTTCATCTTAAAGTATTTTGTGGCAGTATACATACTGATTTGGAAATTTCTTTTAATTGGTTATAACACCCATAAAAAACATTTATATTTTACTTTTTTTTAAAAGACAATTCCCGCACTAATAATATATACCCTGTCATCACTTTACAAACATGCATGAAATGGACACAAAGAACATCCAGACTCAGAACAATAATTTGTGGATCTTACATAGTTTTTTCCAATGTGGGGATTGAACCCACAAAACTTGGGGCAGTAGGTAAGGGAGAGGTGTCCGCTTAAACCCCTATGCCATCCATGCAGTCAAAGATATTATGTAGGTCATTTTAATATAAATGCAAATATTGCAAAAATGTTATGACTATTTCCGTTTTCTTATCTTATTTCCATTTATCTGTTTTACTTATTAATGCATATTGCTCTTTCATTGATCACTGATGATGAAAAAGATTCTTTACATAATTATGTGTGTTTTTATTAAGTTTAGTATAATATGCAATAAGGGATAATATGATAAATCATTTTAATAAAAACCAAAATAAGTTTGGGGATAATCTTACAGCAAAGGAAGTAGTAAATCTGTCTAAATATATAAAAATGTTGTTGTTCATTCAAAAACTCAAAAATGTCTCCAATGCTTGAGCTCAAATTTTGGCACTATTTACTACCTATTTTTCATCAGTTTCGTTCTATATTTCACATCAATGCAACCACAGTGTGCCACAGCCAAGTATGGCAGAGTACATCTAATATATTATAAAAAAAAAGTTGCAAGTGAAATGATTACCATCATTTATTTGAGGTGTGAGTGATAAGTAAAAACTTCAATGCCACAAATAAATTCCTTAATGTGCTAGGCATATTTTATATTAAGGTGATAATGTAATTTGTGTGGTTAGGTTACTTTACTTTGTTTTTAGGGTTTGTATATTGTTACCTATGTCTAAATATACTTACATTACTGGAGATTAAAGTACTATCATATTATTATGTATGTGTAAGCTTAGTAAGATTGAGATTTTTGTTTTGATTTTGTAGCAATGTTTCAGTCTATGGATTACATGGTTCTTTTAGGCTAAAATATTTTTATGTTTGTTTAAAACAATTCAATATGCAAGTAATGCCTGAGTAGGTATATTAATGAAATAGTATCTTTCTATGAATCAATAGTTAGTTACAAAGTTTGCTTGTGTTTAGGTTAACAAAAATACTAATAACTTGACTACTAATCATAATTTTAAGGAATCAAATGCAATTTTAACCATAGGTGAGTAATATATTCACATAAGATCTAGGTAAATAACATACTGCATTATTAGACATGGTTACTACCGTCATTCTTGTATCGTTATATTATTGTTATCACATTTCGTTCAAAAATTATTAATTAATAGTTTATTTTGCGTCATTAAAATCAAGGCTCCCTAATGACATCATCAAGCGATCACTTCAATTTCAAGTCAAATTAAACAACAACAAAAAACGTTTCTTTATCTATCAAAACTAAATAAAATTACTTACGGTTCATTAAGAAAAGGCGATATGAATAAAATGTTCTCGATAAAATTTCTATCCCTCCCGTAAATCACAGGTTTTTGTGGTTGACTGTTAACATTTAATATTCGGAAAAGTATACACAAGATAACCGCAACAACAGCAAGCAGTACTGTCGACATGGTTAGAAATTTTAATTAGACCGCAGTGTCCAATATTACATGGAATTTTTTACATAATAGCGGCAAAACAGTAGTTGTCGCTTTTTTAGTCAAACAACAAACACAACACACACCCGTGACCCGTCGCACGACACACGAGCAGACTAAAAAATCTCTGGCGGTGTGACCATTATTTAATTTTAGATCCTACCCTACCTTTGGAAAAAAAATTAAGTCAGATTCAAAATGTGCCTTTAACAAGCCAAATAGAAATGTTGAACTGTTTATTGTAAAAATCATGTCAGCAGAGATAGAAGGATATGTGAAGCGACTTTTTTATCTTGCATTACATGCTAGTTTTCTGTGGAACTTTCTAAAAAAAAAAAGGTATATACGGTCAAAATTACAGAAAAGAACTAAAAAATTCCGAGGAGTTCAACACATTGGTTAAAATCTAAACCAGATGACACCACGAAAATGTTTTGTAGCTATTGCCACTCAAAAAGTATGCAAAACTGAATGGTTTGAAGAAGCATTTAGAAAGTAAAAAACATAAAGTTAAAAGTGAATTGATTTAGAGAAAATAGAAAATGACATTATTCACAGAACCAGGGAAGATTTGTAAGCCTTCAGCAGAATTGAGTGTACCTTAGCTGTGCTGTGCCAATATACAATATTGCCGGACAGTACGGCTAAAGCTATGCATTGGTGGTTATATGCGAAGATATTTACGATTTTCCAATTTTAGGAAAACGGTTAATATAATAGGCAACACTGCAAGTGACACAAGCCAGCAAGCAGCTACTGCAGCTATGCCTGCGTAACGGACTCCTCGGCGCATCATCTCCGAGCTCAGTGGGCTATGTGGGGATAGCTGTTTGGAGTATAGGACATCCTGGGTTATGTGGGGATAAGTGCTTGCCCAACTGTTCCGCAGACTCCTCGGCGTATTGTCTTGGTGGGTTATGTGGGGATATTTGGACACCATCGAAGGGGGTGTCCGGACACCCTGGACACTCCCCGTTGTTGCGCCCCTGTTCATGAGTTACATATGCGTTGCCGGCCTTCGAGAGTTCTACTTTAAAACCTATCCTTCTGTACTAAAAAATAATAATACCAATTGCTGTTCAAACTTTTAACGTCATGTTTTTTAAATTTTTATTTATTTTGAACTGTTTTAATAGTTGTTGGAAAACTGTCTTGATTGATCAGATCTAGCTAGTGGGATTTGATGAATTTTCTAGGATAATCGTAAGAGTAAAACTACTGGCAAATAAAAATGAAAATTTATGCAATAAGTAAGATGTTATTGTAAAAAAAAACAGGTGTGGGGTAGGATAAACGCTAATGCACTTACGATGTAGGATATAAAATATTTAAAACTTAAAGTGAGTAAGTGAGAAAACTTTGTATTTTAGAGGCTGGTCAGTAGTTTCTCAAGAAAATAAAAGAAATGTAACGAAGAAAGAAAGAAAAATATCATTTATTTCTAAATCACTGTTACAGTCTGTGGCTAAGCCTGGCTAAGACTAAGGAAAATATGTGTAATGGATTGTTCAAAAGATTTAAAAAGTATTATACGCTAGAATTATTTTTTTAAGTTAAAAACTTCAATTTTAAAAGGTAAGAGGCAACATTTAAAAAGGTGGGATAAAAAAAGATGAAATAAAGGAATGAAGTGAAATTGGGGCTATTGTTGCACGGATCTACCGTGCAACAATAGCCCCAATTTCACTTCATGCGATCAGTGCCACCCGATACCCATTGAGATAAGAATAGAGCAAGCCACCTAGTTGAGAGCCCCCCTGTTGTTGTATTTTTCTAATCAGGTATGCGGGCTTGCGCAGTGCAGTGCTCTTTATGGATTGGAGAGAGACGGCAAGAGGGGGCCTCTTAGCAGCTTCTGTAGCTCTCTCTTCTTCTTCTCTCGAATCTGGTATCACGCTTTCGGCTTTAGGCTAGCTCTATTCTTATATCTCTATGGTGCCACCATCCAGTTTTAAAACATAAAAATATGAAACCGAAACATAAATAGATACTTATAAGTAAATAAACAATTTAATTAGTAAGTATATAAATTTTACTTATAATTTCAATATGTAGGCATTATACGTCTGATGCAGGTGAAAAGGGTTTCCTTACACTGAAAATATCACTTCCAAATTATCCATAGTTGTTGGTTCTTCCAAATGATTTAGTACGATATCTGCCATTATCTAACCAAACCAATATGCAATGTGAAGATACAATATTGTTTAATACAATTTCTTCCTTTACATTGGTTCAATAGGCATAATTATTTATGTATGTTCTTGTAAATATAAATAATCTACTACAACAGTTTACTTACCAAACTACGGCAACTCTGAACGATTATAACTTGACAGGGCCTCAATTCTGCTATTTTATGTTTACGCCAAGTAGTCTTGTGCTTAATCGGACATCTGCAGGTTCGCACCGTACTAGTACAATTCGTACAACGTACTAGCACACTGTAATAGTACTATTAGTACAGTTTTAGTAGAAGTAGAAAACTTAAGCGTTTGTATTGATATTACCAACATTAATGAAACGGAATACTAATAAATAAATTAAAATACGTAATTTAAAAAAAAAAAGTGTTATAGTTTTTTTTTTAATATGGATGGCTTTGTATTAGGCAGTTACTTTTCTTCAGTATAGAAATAATTAAACAGTTCTTGATTATTTTTAATGTGTTATCCCTTTCTAAATAACATAAACCTTTTGACTTTTAAATACAATTTTTAGATTACTTTACACTAAATTTTTAAGCATAGGTACTATTTGATTTTCCTTCATACTTTACAACCCAACGTATTGTAGTACATCCTGTATCGCTGTCTCTTTTACTCTCACACTGTTTACCAATACAGAACAATAAAGCGGAGCATTAATAGTACGTCGCACAGCGAACGAACGTAGACACTAGTAGACAGAGTAAACAATAGATAGTTTTAGTACTGCGCTTGAAGTTGACAGTGTGTACTAATAGTGCAAAATGTCCGATTAACAGCTGCCTTTCGGAAACATTACTTTTAGTACAATACCCAGTACTAGTACCTATCAGTACATCGTACGTGTACTACCCAAGACTAACGCCAAGCCAGTGTCATACCACTGACACGCTATTGAGATGCCATCAAGTAGCCATTGGCATCGGTATAAATATCGGTAGTTGAAAATATATTACGTTTTTTGAGGAAATGATTTATTTGTTTTTATTATAATAAATTATTAAAAGAAATAAATAAATTAAAGTAACTTTTTTTTTTTTTTTTTTTAATAAGTTATTTTAATTTATTTGCCAATGGCTACTCGATGGCATCTCAATAGCGTGTCAGTGGTATGACACTGGCTTGGCGTAATAGCAGAATTGAGGCCCAGGAAAGAAACTATTTACACACCTACCTATCTTTTGATTTGCCTTTGCCCCTCATATGTAGGTATATAAAATATTTTCTAATAAAATTTTCTTCCAGAAACAACAATTATTATTTTTATGGTAAAATTTCTGGATAAGTAGGTAGGCACCTACTTATTTAAGAATATACATTTTAATGTCTTTGCTTATGTATTTGATTGGGAACTTATTATTTAATTTAAAATTTCATTAAAGGTTTAGTTAAATTAGTCAAAGGCTACAGGCCAACATCCGGCTTAAACTAGTAAAACACGAATCTCTCTTACGTATAAGACTGTTTAGGAACCATTAAAAACCCTCTAACCCTAGACCGACACCTATAACTACACCATTAATGCGTCAGGTTGCCCTTTTTGTAGAGGTTGTCTTGAGGCAGAGGGAACAATCAGAATATTCTGGAATCCCTGAGAATGGTAACACAACAGGCAAGTATCCTCACGGGTGCGAAATCATTCCTAGAGGCCTGTAAAGATCTCAACAGGCTTCTGTGCTTTTGTCTGGCCCAACTAGTCAGTCCCACTCGATCGCATAATCGCTTTTGAGTCTAACGAAATAGGGGCCTTTACCATTCTGAAGGTCTGAAGCAGCGTAGACACAAGTGTTGCTTATGTACTACATATACACCTATTTATCTGGAGAGAAGGGAGAAATTAATAATTTTGTTTAAGAAGAACATAATTTTATTAGAGAAAAATGTTCATGAGCATAAAATAACTAATTACCAATAAATAACAATAATGCGTTAGTCCTGTAAATCAAAAGTCGACTCGCAAAAATCCGTAAATTAAAAATAAGAGCAGTCTATAAAAAGTCGTTGGTAGTTTCTAAAAAATTGCAAATATACCAAATCAACTCTTTATATACAATTTATTCCGAACATTTTAATTATTGCGTCGTTATCAGAACATGAAATCTTAACTTAAGTACTCTCTATAAGGTATTACAATTCTTTCATACATTTCTAAACGTCCCAATAGTGGTCTAATATTTCCTTGAAATGTCTTTAAAATCTAAACTGTATCTAGGCTTTTGTGACATGTATACATAGACTAAGATTTATCGATAATTAAGCTAAAATATACAGATATACATTTGTGATTCAAACTTAGTGAGCAACACTTTTATTATTTATTACCTATATTTCTATGAATATTAATTGTAACTTATAGCATCTGTAAGTCATCTTGTAAGGCATAGCTATGTGAATAAACTAGACATTGCTGGAACAGTGTCCTCAACTATATAAATATAAATCAGTTATTTGTTGATAATCAGTTATTTTCTGTTATAATTTTTTATTTTAACAAATGTACACTTGATGCGATTCGCAACGAAAATGGCCATACTTATATCACTGGGACAGTAAAACAAGAGATCAGAAGGAGATTATTCGAATATTTTGGATTCCGTTCAAATACATATTATAAGAAAGTCTTAAATTAGCAAAAGCTGTCTCAATTTGTAAAAGATCCTTATAAAAATATTATAGACAACTATAAATATATTGCATAACTTAGTGTCATATTAGTGTACACGCCATAATGAAAAACTTAAATATAACAAGTAATGCTCTATATAAATACCTACAATAGAGTCCATCCGATGTTCAACCCATCAGCCTTCTCGTATCAATAAATATCTGTACATACACTTAATTATAAACGTTATAAATACATGGGATATCAGATGGTGCGCAAGTATTTAAATTCTATGTAAATAGGTACTAAACGTTACTGATAAACTACATACAAAAAAAGTCACGAAATGGTAAAGTACAACTAAAATTAATATAACAGTAGCATTAAAGTAAATTGTGATGACTTTAATATTAAAAAATAATGGCAAAAAAAAATAATCATCACCTCAGCAATTACTTATGTATGTACTCTTAACAACAATAATTATAACCGTATTTAATAAAATTAAACAAATGCTAAATTATTAGCTCTGTTAACTTTAAAATATATGTTTTCCCTATAGAAAATATTCAATAAATGAAAGCTTGTTTAAGGGCCATTCATAACATATGTACGTCATATAATATTTCGTCATATGCACCTCTCAGTTACGATATTTCCCATTAACTTCAAATATGACGCCACAATACAAATAATTTATTACTCTGATACGAATTTTAGTAAATAAACGTGTACTGTAAGAATGGTGTTTGAAAACGGATTCTCATAATGAGCACTTAGTTTTACAGTTGAATAACGGCTCTATTAAAAACAATATTTATATATATATTTAATACTTTTTACACCTTTAAAATGGTCACCCTTAAGCAGATAACGAATGATTTGTCCATATAAAAGGAACTGTTCTAGTTTCCAAACCGTTGTGGCTTAAAAACCACTAGCAAATTGTAAAGCATTACAGGTGATTTAATGTTACTAGGCAATAGTTTGGAGAATCTGATTAAATATTGAAGTAAAAATATAGTGATAAACAGTATGCTTAAAATATACCTATTTAATTAATACGTAAACAGTCTCATCTATAGATTGGTAGATATAATTAAAAATAGTTTGAAACATGTATAAAAGAGTTTAAACTACACCGGTTTTTTATATTTACATGAATCTAATTGGATAAAAGGGTTTACATTTTAATTAAATTTGTTGTGAGCCGACTAGCCTTAATGACGCCGCTTCAACAATGAGGTGAACGCAAATTAGGCGGGTTTGTATTTCTAAATAATCTACGTCACTATTCGGTAAACACATATCAACTATACTGTGACTTTAAAGCTATACAGTAGAATCTGCATAAGCAATCAGACCGTTTCGCTTGTCGTACAAAATATTGTCCAATATTCGTACACGGATTAGAAAATAAATATTTATGTGTATTGATACATTCAAACAGATAGCACCACCATTCCTAACAACCTTTTACTTTGTTCACACCTCAATTCTGAATACTCACATTCCTTCAGCTACACTGAACTGAAATTGTATAAACACAGTTACGGCTGCAGCTAAATTCGATCTATTTAAAAATTCTGCAGTATATTATTATTAGCAAGTAACGAACAGGCGCACTACAATTGTAGCTTTCATGGCGACTTTGGACGATAGATCTAATGTGGACCTTGTACTTTGATAGTGTTGGATTCGGCCTTTACAGTGCGCGATTATCGTATTGGCAGGCTGCGTATTCTCTGCGGTAGACCAACCTCGAAGTGTGGGTCAGCGTATAAGACAGGTCAGACACAGTTCCGCAGTACCAATGCAGTCATCGTGACAGAAGGCGCCGCATTTCTTGCACAGAATCATTGCACGCAGGTTGCACACACACGGCTCTTCCGCACCCACGCTCCGACACCGTGCAACACTCTAAACATTCAAGACAATCATGTTAGATCTATCACTAGCATCAAAAAAAATTGGGCAATTTGTGCCCCAGAGTGTACAGGGATCATTTGTTTGTATTTGAAGTAAATAAAATAAATGATGAATTTTGAATAGCTTCATAAAGTCCGTAGCAGATTTGGCGATAAGTTCACAACAAAAAAAGATTTTAAACAATTACGTAATTAAAACACTTTCAAAGAAAGTTCAAATAGCTGGCATCTACTCGTATTTGAATTATCTTTGAAAGTATTTTAATTGCCAAAGGATGCAAAACAGGGTAAAATATTGAATCAATATTAAAACGATTTTCGAGCGTGCGTTCCGTATTAAAATCTAATGTTATTGAACTAACTTTAAATTCGTATATTATTTATTGTCACATTATCCGTTATACGAAATCTGTAATTAATAATTAATTACTCCAAAATAAACGACGAACGAACAGTAATAGACAGAAAGACAACTTCGTTTGTGTTTAGACCAGTGACATATGCAAGGAGACATGCAATTTCGGAATTGAGCCCGATTGCTTTAGTTGCATTCTCATGGCACCACCATGTAAGTATTTTTTAATTCATGTAAATAATCATAAAACACATACACACATTAATGAAATGTTGACAACCAGTTGGCTTGGTAGGTAAGATACTTCCTTGCCTTATTATGTATAAATACCTAGTAAGCTCCGCTTAATTTGAGATTAAATGGTGCATGGTAGTTGCATTCTCATGACAGCATCATGCAAGTATTTTTTTATTCATGTAAATAATCATGAAACACACACACACACACATTCACACATTAATGAAATGTTGACAACCAGTTGGCTTGGTAGGTAAGATAATTCCCTGCTATTATATATAGAGACTATATGGTGTCGTGTGAATGTGATAGAATATTTTTATTGTATTAACATTTCTATTACTATTAGTAGTAATTACAGTAAGGACTATTACTTACATTTGAAATGCCAGAACTATATTATTTAATGAAGTGGGGACCTTCTTCAATCACCTCAATTTTTTAAAACCACCATTGCAATTTGAGTTCTTTGAAGTTAATAATAATAATATCATTACACGCATAATGATTCATATATTTTTCAGGTTAGAGCGGCCACTTTTTTATGTCATGTCTTTCAGATGACAGCTGACAGAGAAGTAGCATGAAGAAAAATGGTGAAAAAATATAGGATTTAATGATGTACAGCAAAATGTACATGTTCAAGGCATCAGAAAAATATTGCTCCATCAGCTGCATTTTAAACAATGTTCTAATAACATTCAATGATTAAAAATGCATATAAATAATGTTCTTTGTTTTAATTCCATTCTGTAACACTACTAAACAAAACTATGTATAGCAACCAATGATTGGACATGTTTTTGGTGTGGAGATAGTTCAAACGCTGTAGAATAACATAGGCTACCTTTCATGGACTTTCCACAGGTGTGGAGCCTCGGACAGAAGCTAGTAGTATATATTTTGACATGAGCATACATATAAACCCTATAAGGCACACCTGATAATACTTAGAGCATACTAAAAGTTTCTGGATTCTGATAAATAAGACTAGATATGAGACTTACGATAAATTTATTGTTTTTCAAAGTATATTCCCTCGCATTTTTGCATTCGCTGAAACCACTGTACAAAGCAGTTGGACCAGTCTTAAATTACTGTAAAAGTAAAGTCATGCGGTATCCATCGAGTGTACTTAAAGCTTCTAACAAAGCACGAATTTGCTGGCAAGTATTTTTTTGTCAACATTGAGTCTGTAACCGCAGTCGCCAGCCGAACTTCACGTACCTCGTCATGGAGATGATAACGTCCACGTCTAAATTCTTCAAACCACGAATACACATACAGAGCTGCGACATAGTGCTTCATCACCAAATGCCTATTGAAGTCTCTGGCAACTGTCTTGTTGACTTAAGCCACAACGAAAATCTTTATATTCATAACTTTATTCACGATCTGCTATGCTTCATGAAACTTTATTATTCTCTAATTAGAAGGTCTAAACTTTTAAATTGATTTGATCTCTGTACATTCTGAGGCAATGGCTCATACAATTTTTGGTCATCTCTTTTCATTTATAATGTGGTATAAAATATGTCCCAGTAAGAGCAGGACAGTAATAGCAAACAGATATCTGAAGTCCTACATGATTGCGTAACTTATTGATAAGTTTTAGAAAAGTGTGTAAAATTTTTTAGAATTGCATCTTGCAATTTCATAAAATCTTTGTAAATTTCTCAATCTTCTAATAAATACAAATCAATTCGTGTTTGTTCATATATTATGGCCTGCCATACCGTTCTTTTGAGCATCGTGTATTTTTTTTTATATGTTAACATGGTCATCATCATCATCCCACATCATCACAGCCTAGTCAAATGCTGGACATAGGCCTCTCCATAGATAGGAGGTTTTGGCCTACTATACCACGCTGTTGGTATAGGGATTGTTTCAAGTTTTCCTTCTCTTTGCAGTGCTGTTGTCCTGCGTGGTTTGCTCCCTTAGTCGGTTCTTACGACACCCATGGGATGAATAGAGGTGGTAATTCCGTATTCCTAATCCGTCACCACACGGATAACACCATCATCCACAACAAAACACTGTTCGCAAACAAACATTTAAAATTTTGTAAAAACCTTACATACGTTTATCTATTCTTTCAGAAAATATCATAGATAGTGTCTCCACTATATCTATGACATTTTCTAAGTAAAAACTTTTAGAAACAATAAGACCATTAAGAACTCCTCTTAATGGTCTTATAGCTTCTAAAAGTTTTTACTTATCTTTAAAGTTGAAAATGGTAACACATTTTCTTTATGATTCTTCTTATCTGTTTCATTATTAAAAGTTTACAATATGCAGTGCAGATTTTTATAAATAAGAATTTAAAAAATTAGGGTACTTTTAATAAAATATTGCAACCACCGTCAATTCAGCTTCAGCTATGGATTTATTGATATTCATCATACTTTTTATAAACCTTGCAGAAACTTTCTAACTTTTAGCCTTAATTGAAAGTAAATCTTCCAAAAATGAAAAAATGTACACTCAAAAAAGAGCAAGTTCCTCCTACCGGAGGTATACACTGTGTTATGAAGGTTATAACGAAAACTGAAACACCAGATATGACGCTTCAATATACGTCGGTTAAAATAAAAAAATAAAAAAAATAGTACGAAAATACAGAAATGCAAATTAAGAATAAAATAAATACAATAAAACAATTGCCGAATTAGAACACCATTGATAACATGAGTCGGTGAACTGTACCTACGCGGCAGCGTCGCATTGTCGGCGACATCAAAGCGACGCCGCCGCCGCCGCCGCGACGAGCCGGCGAACTTTACATTCTTATTACCTACCTACTAATCACTTCACTTGCTTTTTTAAATCTATTTATTAAGAATACGATTTTATGCTCGTGTTCATTTTGGGAATTATTCCGCGGCTGTGAAGGTCACTCACGGCATTATGGATGTTGATACCAATAACCCAATTAAATTAAAAGACTGATAATTCACTCAGTTTCACACTACAATATTGTCACTTTTCAAAATAAAATTAGCATGACTCGTTACATTACGAATTCTTGCGCACACGATAACATTAGTTGTTCACACCATTGCCGTGTATTATGACGGAAACAATAAGACTAAACAATTAGTACAAGAAAACTTTTCTAAACAAATATGTATTCATGAACAACAACAATATTATTATTACGGTTATTTGTCATGAGCGCATCTACAAGGAGACAGACACTAACACTCGCCGGTGGCCAAGGGCCGACTTACTGTCCTTACTGGATGAACTAATTAAAAACGCGTGTCCTTCATCGTGATGACGCAATAATCAACATATTTCGTTCGATTCGAGTGTAGTAAAAGCGGCAACGTGTGATTACCGCGCCGCGTATACCTACAGCTGATCGCTGCCTGAGGTCACTGTATTATGACTGCATGTAGACATGATGTTGCAAATTACGAAAAAATGTCCTGTTTCTAAACCACTGAATATTTTTGTTCATATTTTGCAAATCGTCTAGAAATAAAGTGCAGAATATGATGTTAAAAGCTTTGAGATAAAATAAGAAACATGCTGTATAACATCAACTGTCAACCAGCAAATAACGTCCTTCAAATTTGGGAAATCACAGGGATTATTTATCATTAAAACTCAATGTTATTTTTAAATGTTGTGTTCATTAGTGATTGATTTTAGAAAAGTGAAGTGATTTCAGAATATTTTTACTATTGGGCTAACAACATCTTAATTTACATTTTAATGAATACCATATAGTTTGACGAATAAGTTATTACACGTTTATTCCAATACCGATTCGTCATTAAACGATTTTCGATTTTTTTTTAACTATCTAGTTTTTGAGTGCATAATTATTTAAGCATTGCTTCAGTTTTCATATTCTAGAGTGACTGTTTCTTCAAGCAGTACAATTTTATTTTATTGTAGGCATACTGCAGTTTTAAATAATTATGTATAATAGATAAATATCTTTTAATCATAAATCTATTTGATAGTTTATATACCTATCACATAGATTTTATTTTCATTAAATTTTGATTTGATTTTGAAGAAGTAAATAATAATTTATTTTTAACAGTATATGTAAATAATATTTACTGATATACATAAATTAAAACCTTTAAATAGCCCTCTCACATAATTTGTTAATTTATTATGGTAAATGTTAGTGTAATAAATACTAATAGTGAGTCAACTCGTCTGTGGTAGAATCGGCTGGCTTGGCTTGCTAACCGGTATGCCCGTTCAGGAGTGTCACGTACATCAGTTGCACGCGTTTGGTGCAAAACAAGACTACTCGCAAGATTTAAATTATTTGATTAACTCACATTAGTACTTTTATCTCTTTACTAATCTATACTAATATTATAAAGCTGAAGAGTTTGTTTGTTTGTTTGTTTGTTTGAACGCGCTAATCTCAGGAACTACTGGTCCGATTTGAAAAATTCTTTCAGTGTTAGATAGCCCATTTATCGAGGAAGGCTATAGGCTATATATCATCACGCTAAGACCAATAGGAGCGGAGCACCAATGAAGAATGTTTCAAAAATGGGGAAAATTTATTACTATTGAGACACGCAGACGAAGTTGCGCGGGTCAGCTAGTAATATAATATAAGAGAAAGACGTATAATTTAACTCTCGATATAGGTGGTGGTTTAATATACATTTACATATAATTACTACTTACTTCATACATCGCCCCAGGGTTGTTCCTCTAAGAAGCCGAGTTGACTACCTATTAGTATTTATTACACATATTTTAAAAGTATAAAAGTTGTTAATGTAAGTATCAGTTCAGTCGATAAAAATATGGTTAATCAATATTAATATTATTATCTGAATCAATTAAACATTGTTCTTCCCATAAGAAAAGTTGATTAAAATCCTTAGCATGTCGATTCTTCATACATTAACTTTAGTTATTCAGTAAGCAAACTGTAAAAACCCACACTATTAACACCTAGGAATAAGTAATACCTATAATTATTGATATCAACTCATTTTTATCGCTACAAGTCTTATAATACTTACTACGTTTGTATTTTGGTTAGCTGGCGGTGCACTAGACGCTCTCGGCGCTGCATTGGGTGTTCTTTGCACCAGAATATACTGACCAACATTGTTCGAACGATTCTCGTTCATCTGAAATTTATTAATTTGAAAACTATTAATACAATGCTTTTTCAGAAGTCGTCTTGTTTTTTTAAAGCGACCTCTCAAGAGGTTCTTGAAGATTACGATTAAGTAGATTCAATAGATTTGAATTATGTTTCTATTTTAAAAAGACGACGCCGCGGCCTCCGCAGCGGTGACTTTCCAAAAGATTTCATTCTTAAAAATCTGATTCGTCGACATTAATAAGGGACCCTCACAACTTTTTGTAATCATTGTAAGTTGGAATACTCCTAGGTCAAAAGTAATAACTTAAATTCGAACTTAGCAATACAAGAACATTTTTTTTATGATAAAAGAGGCAGACGAGCAGACGGGTAAATGATAGTAAATGTATCAACTTACTTCATTATGAGGCATAACAGAAACAGGTAGCTGTCTCACGAGCACAGGCGGGAGCGGCGGAGGAGGCGGTGGCGGATTTGGACGCACGGAGCGCGCAGGTCGGGTGAGAAGCGCGGGCGGAGGTCGCAGCTGACCGCGTAAAGCGTCGCGGTTAGGGCTATTTTGTATCGCCGCTTGGCAGATTTGGTAGCTACGTTCCAAATTCACAGTACCAGGAGGTACTTTGTTGGAACTTCTACTCCTAAAATATCAATAATGTATCATTAACTACATTCAAGTAATTAATAAATTGTTTTTCATCGCTTTCTGAATTTGACATGTAGTAAAAAAGTATACATGCATCACTCATACTGACTGCCTTGGCGGTGCAGTGGGAGCGTACTGCTGTGCTGAGGTCTAAGGTTCGATATCCGGGTCGGACAAAATGTTTCTATGATTTGTAAATATTTATTTTGGAGTTTGGGTGTTTTCTATGTATGATATGTATGTATTTACAAAAAAAGAATATAAGTATTCTATCAGTCAATCTAGTTTTTATAGTACAAGCTCTGCTTAGTTTGAAACTAGATGGCGTTGTGAGTCAGATGTCTGAAAAATATTATTATTATACATCATTCATAAACATGTATCATTCATTAATATTGTTTATCTGTTGGTAATACTTTCGTATATTGTAAAGATATGTGGCTTTTTTATATTCATTCTTTTATTCATCACTTACAAAAAAACTTGATATTGTGATTTTTGTAAAAACTTTAAAAGTCAGAGAACAATAGTTAACACTACTATTTATCTAATGTAGATTATGATAATTAAATTGGAGGCTTTATAGCATGTAGTGGTAGTAGTAGTATGGCTTTGTCGTAAGATCAACTCGTGACTTTGTGCGACCCTCTACACTTTTGTAGCTATACAAAACATTAATACGTTCTCAATTAGAATACAATATATCTGTATGGAACACTTTATACACCAAATATTCTTATAGACTGGAGTTGCACTGCAGAAAAAATCTTGCGCGCAAATTATTACAAATGTACGCAATCTCGATTATCTTATATAGAGTTTTTAAATCATTTTATCTTCTAAGCTTACAATCTAGTAGTCTACTTTTTGATGCCATGATGCTACATGGTCTGTGTAATAATAGAATTGACTGCACAGATATTAAATTTGTTTACTGTACCCAGAACAGTTCATAGGCGAAGTGTGCGCCAATACCAACTTTTTCACACAATATCATGCAGTACTAAAGGCGGTAGCCGCATACCTCTTCGACTTGTAGTGACGTACAAGAAATATGTCAATAACATTGATATCCGCGTGGTGACGGATTAAGAATACAGAGTGTCACCACCCCTATTCATCCCGTGGGTGTCGTAAGAGCGGACTGAGGGATAAAAACTACGCAGAACAACAGCACTCCAGAAAGAAGGGAAACTTGACACAAACCCTATACCAACCCGTCTAGCCAGCGTGGTATAGTTGGCCAAAACCTCCTTTCTAAGGAGAGGCTTATGTCCAGCTGTGGACTGTTAAAGGCTGTTGATGTGATGTGATGTGTGATATCTTTGCTTTTTCTTTTTCTAATAACCAATTTAAAAGTCATGCCATTGCATTATTAATCGCCATGCCAACTGAATAGAATATGAATATATTTTATCATACTTGTACATTTACATCTACATGTATGTAGTGTCTGCACTCATGCGCATTTGTAATAATGTTCTGACCTGCTTCTTCTTTACACTAAAAATTTAGTTTTATTAATCCGCTAACAATGGTGTAGGTATGTGTTTATACTTCGAATATGTTATTTTAAATAGTGGTAGTACTACTGAAAATTTATACTACTTAGAATCATAATTTTAGTCTAAACTAGTTAAAAAATAATTAAACATACACATACTGTAGAGCATGTAGTATAAACATGATTAGTCAAGATCCTAATCACCAGCTTAGTAGAATAGTAAATATTTAGACGACATACCTGTTTGACTCTTTCCCCAATTTGGGCTTTTTACCAACAGGCCTCATACTTTGTGCCATTGTTGCAGAATTTAGGGGAGGGTTAGTTGCAGGAGTACTAGACATTAAAGTAGTTGTTGATTCCAATTCCTGCTTTACCAATGTTTCTTTAATAGATTGACAACTCTCAGATGAATTTGAAGATTCCATATTAAAGTTGGCATCTCTATCTTCTTTATACATACAATTTTCGTCATTCATGCTAATATCCTCCATTCCTGTTTTGGAGTCTTCGCTTACATATTTAGCATTCTCATTATTTAAATTTTGAAATGAATGCAAGTTCATAACATTTTCGTTATTTGTCCAATCGGCTTCTGTTTTCCATGACACAGCAGAAGCTTTGGGTTTTGCTGCATCTTTCATATCATCAGGGTAAGACACAATCTGTAATAATATTTAAGTTAGTATAAATTTTTATTTAAAATATTTATTCCATATGATTAAGTAATAATGTTTTAAAACAACTTACTGATGTATTAGTAACTTCCATCATTGGTATTGATGAGTTCTGTGTTAATGGCATTGTTACGACAGCAGTGACATCTGAAACAATATAAATAAAAACTTCTAGCAGTTTGATCTGTCAACACTTAAAATACATTGACAACTACCCTTCATTTTAGACAAATATTTTAAAAACAAACTAACTTGTTTCACTCATGTATGATGACAGCTCCATTAGATTAGGATGTGATGAATACTTTACATCTTGATTTTCTGTAACAATAGGTAAAATTTTCAAGAAACGACTTACTTTGATTTTGTAATCACATTTAGATTATCTAAAAACCCTGATAACAAAAGAATATTCTTTGTTAAAAAATCCAACTAAACTGTACAATATTATTTGTGCTATTATATAGAAATAATAAATTCTCTGAAACCAATAATGTTATTAACCTACATTCATGTGTTTAATACCAGGTAGCAAAAAATTAAACCATATGGAGACATACTAGAATCTCATGGTATGAAAAAAAAAGTGATTTTCATACAGCCATATCAACTGTCAATTTTATTGCTATTGAGAATTTTGATTTATGGTTGACAAAAATTATTTTAATAAAATATCGAAATTTTGCAAAGCAGCAGCAGCAGCAGCAGAAAGAACTATGACTTTTTAATGTTTACAAGTATTGAATGGTAATTTTGGCAACAATGAGGCAATTATTTTTTTGTTTTTTATCTGCATATTAAGAAAAACCTAAACTTTTTGCTGCAATCCACAGAAATATTAAATACCTAAAAAATAAAAAAAATAGTAGCTGTAGAATTGTATGGGTTGGTCCACTTTTTTGTATTTTAGTGAAGGGCCGAATGTGGTTTGGGCCTAATACGAACTTCGACCGAACATTCAGTAAAAATACAAAATTCGACCGACAGTTTTGCCGCGTTTTTTTGTTGTGCCAATGATGATGTTTCAAACAGCCTTTAATAATTCTGTTTCCTTTAAAAAAAAAGTGATCTCACAAAGTTACAAATTATTATGATGCTTGTTAAAATTAAACAAAGTTTATTTTGTTTTTGCTTTCAGATTGAGATGTCTTTATTTGTGTGTTTATTTCTTTGTTAAAAAGTTAATTAAATTGTTATGTCTTCTTAATAAAAGAGAACTAGGCTAATTAATTTTTTTACTTAAGTAATTACTATATTGATGTTACAATGTTGCCAAATTATATTGATTCTTACGTAATACAAATAAATGACTGATTAGGGAGCATACTCGGGACTCGTTTCATTTTATATGTACGACAGATTTGATTTTCATCAAATTACTAAAATAGTGCAGATATTTTACTTTTTTCTCATACCGGATTTTCGGCATTTGAATTGAATTTCGGCCGAGTACCGAAATTTGGTTAAACCGAATGTAAAACGAATTTCGGCCTATCCCTAATGTATTTGAATTTTACTCTTATCTCTAAAAGTTTTGTTTGGTAATATGGGCATTGATAGTAAATAATATCAAAGTAAATTATACAGAGTACAGAAGCCAATTATAATACTCTACTTATTGCTCAAAGATTACATATAAAAGAAACAGTGTCAAGACTGTTTAATCCAATTTAACATTTACATTTTTGCCATGTGATTCTAGTAGACCTATAATAGTCTGGATTCAGAATAGCTTGGTTCTATTTTAAAAAATCCTTTAGTTTTTTATTAGTGAAAAATGAAAAAATATAGAGAAATGCTTATTTTATGGCCTACCATTGTCAATTAAATTGTTTCAAGCGGGTACAAAATCATGGCACTAATGAGGGATGGATTTATGATTTTCAATTAAACATTTAGACGAAATCATTTTCTTTACAATTGGTGCATGTAGAATGTCATATAGAAAAGAAATTATTTACTTACGAGACTGATTATTTAGTATTGAGAGACTTGTCTCTAATATAAATGATTCTGCATCTTTAAAGTGATCATCATAATAGTTTTGTGCCATACTTTGTAGAGGAGGAATTTCTTTGTCACATTTTTCAGAGCTATTAACAGTTTTGATTTTCAAATGATCATTTGGTTGTGGCACTTGACATTCCATCTCCTGATTTAAATTCTGACATAGCTCCTGTTTTACGTCTGACTCCTTGGAGTCTTGAGGTGACTCTTCATCTGCTTCAGATACTGTCTTTGAAGACTCTTGGTACTGATCTGACACATACTCTTCCTGGGTTTCATTGGCCAAAGACTCTTTAGTGTTTATTATATCAGCATCTAGACTTTCTTCCCTTTCTATTGCCTTGGTTTCATAATTAACTGTCTCTATGGGTTCTGCAGATTCATTCACAGCTATATTACTTACATTAATATCTATCTTTAAGCTAGACACAGATGATTCACTTCTTGCATCATACTCATAAACAGACGCAGTAGCTTTGCTATCTTCACTATTAGTATCACCATGGTCTTGTACAGTATACAACAGTTCATCATTTGGACAAACTTGTTCATTACCATAACAGTTTTCAACATCAGAGTAATTAGTAGTATTATCAGATGCATTTTGGACTAAAAAGCTAGAGTTATCTATCTCATAATCTTCTTCAAATTTTATCCTCTTGGCAATAGACCGATATTCAGTATTTTCATTACTAGGCCTCTTAGATGATTCTTGTAAATTGCCATCAGACTCTGCTTTGTACTCTTCACAGTCTTTTGATGTACTTGACTCTTCTATAGTTACAACACTGATGTCAAGTTCTTGCTTCAAGTCATTGCGATCTGTTTCACTATCTGGTAGTAACAAGGGATCAACAGGTGTAGTTGAGACTGAGTCATCCAATCTTTGTGTAGATGATGTATCAGAGAAATTAAAGTCAACTTGACATTCTTCATAATTTGAATTATGGGTTTTGTTATGTTTGAGAGGTAATAAGTCAGGCACAGGGGCAGATTGTTTTGTACAAAAAGTGACAGGTTCCTCTAAAACTTCATCAGCTTTTGCTGAGGATCTAGTCACAGCACCAACAGAGCGCATTCTTTTACTTGTACTTGAAGATTTACTCTTTTTAATTTTTGGAACAGTACTACTGCTTGTAATAGAAGCTGTAGGTCTTAATTTAATAGTTGTCTTTAGAGATGGTCTATCAGAATTTAAACTGATTGAAGATTTATCTTTTCTTGACTTTTCTCCCCAAATAGGTTCAAAGTGCTTTAATTTCCAAGGATCTATTTTGCTTTTTTCTTTTTCAGCCTCAGTCTTCATTCTTTGTTGGTTTTCTGGAGTTAATTCACCACCAGAGAGACTATCCTGCCATTGTAGACAAGCCCGTGCAAAAAATTCATTATTGAGACTAGAAGAATTCAAGCGACCGGAAGGGCTTAACCTGTCTACACTAGGAAGTAGCTGTCCAAGTTTATATTGATATAATGGAGGAAGAAGTGAAAAAGTGTGCTTATTGAGAAGTGCTCTTATATTTGTGTTTACTAATATTGAGTCAGGTGTTTCTAAATCAATATAACCTTCTCTTGTTTGTTGTAGTTGAGCTGCTGTAGATAATTTTTTGCCACTTCGCTTCCTAGGTTTCATAGAGAACCCTGGAATGCTAGCTAGAACTTCACGCATCGTACAAGGTCTATTAGTAATAGTACTAGGCTCAGTGTAGGATGTTGCCGCTGTCCATTCTCTGCTTTCAGGAGGAGGAGGTGGTGGTAAAGGCTTCACAATGATCCTGGGTAAAGGCCGAGTATGGTTTGAATTCTTCTTTCTTCTTTTTGACTGTTTTCTTGACGAGTGCTTACTGGACTTCTCCCCATCTTCAGGAATGCGTATGATTGAATACTGATCGTTATTACATGGTGTGTATTTACTATCTGTAGAATTATCTGAATATTCCATATCGATCTCTACTTTATCCGCTGGGGATACATCTAGTTCCATTATTATGATATAACGCGTGTAAATAGCAAATTATTAAATGAAGATGATAAACTGTCGCCGATTGGAATCACTACTTCAACCCATAGTGCATACTTTTAAAATATAAAAGGACTATTTCTTTGCAATATTAAGAATACAGAATGATAATCATCACTTATTTAATACAGTTTAAATGCTTAATAGCATGGAAATTTTCATACAAATCCTATTCTCAAGAAGAACTGGTTGAAGAGTAAAACTTAAAATGTCACAACAACACAGAAAATGGATTCCGTAACAGATAATTAATATTTTTTTTAAAGTTTTTTATTTTATACAGATTTGAAGGTATCTTTAGCTTTCATCAAGAAAAATTTCAAAGTAGTTCCAAAAAGTTTTTTTTGTATGAAAACATACTACTAGTTTGTTTTACCAATATCTATTTAATCGGTACGATTATAGTTTCCTATAGATAAAACTCAATTCAATGGATCTACCTGAAACTCGTTCCTTTTTCCGCCTTAAAGAGATTAAACGGTTCGATTGTATGGAATGTGGAGGACAGCGCTATGTAGTATCAAGTAACGTATCAAGTAACAAGTAACGCGTGGCTGATTTTGGAATATTCGTGTTTGTTGGGAACGGACTGTCGAATACTAGAAACTTTCTAGTAAAATTCAAAAGCATGCTAGCTAGCAGCAAGCAGCAAAAGCAGCTATAAAAGTGGAGCGAGTTGGCCGTTCGACACAGCTAGCTGCCCTAGTGATTTGGGAGGCGTAGGCGCCCTGCTCCGCCAACTCTCTTTTCTATTTTTATTTTATTTTCTGCACTAGCCTATCCACACTGATTTGACCAATACCTCATTGTTACAGTTCTTGTTGCTGCGGTCACCCCGCGGCCCGCGAGCACCTGTGCTTATTTGGCCCAAGTAGGCGCACCGTGTGTGTTTGTGCCGGTGACCGCCGCAACAATAACAAAAACAACAACAACGGGGCTCCCCGCAAACCGTGTTGCGGTGCGGACTGCCCGCCTACACATCCCGGATTAGACACCAGAGGGGTTGCAAGTAAGTTGCCGCCTCATTCGCTGGTCGCTCGGAGCCGGGCCTCACCAGGTATCGCCTGGGATCTCACCTGGCCCGGGTTTGACCGCCGAGGCGACGTAAAGACCGAAGCAACCCCTCATAGATAAGACCGAAAACTCAAATAGAGTACCCCATGACCTACCCCTATTTAGGGGTAGCGGCAGACACCGCTGGCAGGGGGCAAAAGCCCCAATCCAGCCACCACACGTCCCCTGCGGGATGGTGTGAAGACACGCAACCAACCGTTTGACACATTTTCGTTTTACGACACAGCGAATTAACATCCGAGTGAATTTCTAATGCTATATATAGTGAGTTCTAGTTTATTATAATGAGTGTTCGAAAATACAGTGCAATAAAGTAATTAACCGACAACTTTTATTTATTATATACCCCGCTCGTAACAGTATTTATTTAAAAGTCATGTATGTTTGCATGTACATTCAGAAGATTATTTGCTTTAATTATTTACCTGCTATTCCCACTGTTTCACACAAGTTTTTATTCTAGATAAATAAGTACTGAATTCGGTTTATCTTCCCATACAATTCTATATTTACTCGCTTTTTCTTTTACTTTTGCTCCTGCGATCCGCATAGGTTTCTATGGATCACAACATAAACAGAGAAGTCTTGAGTTTTTAGATGAAATTTGTAAAAAAATTACCCTGTGGTATGGGTTCAGTATAAGAAGATATGTCAAAAAATACTTATTTAAAGCTTTTCGCCTTTCCGCTGAACCTATTTGTAATATAAAAGTGTTTGTTAATAAGTTGAAATCACTGCTGTAAGCATTTGACATAACTACTGACTAAAAGTAGGTACTCTGGCAACTGCACATCATTTATTGCAGGTCTTTCTCCCACTTCAAGTACCTAAAGACTTTTCAATATCAAACATTGTGGTTTTATAATTTTGTCAATACGTCAGGAGGGAGCGGGGAGGACAGGAACAAGGACGTCTTGCTTGTCAGAGAAGCAACACTGAAATGAGGCAAGTGCACTCGCCGCACTCTCCCTGCGTGTACGTCATGGCAAGCCTCGACAAGTGTCTACAAACACAAGCGTGTAAATAGGGTGTTTGGCTTTATGGCCGGACCGTGGACACGGCCCTCCACACGTTGGCAGAATGCCCGGCGTGGGTGGAGCAGAGGCGTGACCTTCTGGTGGCCATCAGGGTGGGAGTCCTCTCACTCGGTAGTATGATTGCCACCATGGTACGGAGCGAGAGTGCGTGGAACTCCGCCGTCTCCTTCTGCGAGCAAGTTATGCTTGCCAAGGAGATGGCGAAGTGGACGGAGGTCGCAGAACGACCTCCGTCCTCCATAAACGCAGGCCTGGGGGTGACAGCTGAGGCCATCTGTCACCCTAGCAGAAGCAGGCCGGAATGGTGGTGAGACGTGCTTTTGGGAGCACAAAGCCTTTTTTTCATGTTAGAGAGGCGCGTTGCCGGCCTTTTAGGAAGGAGTACGCTCTTTCTTTGAAGGTCCAGAACAATTCCTCGGAGCGCTCTCCATGATATATGTTTGTGACGTATTTATACGCGCTTGTTCCCTACTTCTCAATTTGTTATTAGTTGAGTGGTCGGGAATCAAATTTAAGCCTCAATGATCTACTGATTGAGCACTTTCATTGAGCGGTAGGACAAGAGCTTTTTGAAAACAAGCAGTGATTGATATATTTCAACTTCCACTTTTGGTTGATGGCTTTGTGGTAGAATGTAACCACAATTTCGCCAATGTCAATTTGAAAGACAAACTGTCAAAGGATTTTATGTAGAGCTGTGGTAGAGCCAAAAAAATAATTTGAGAATGAAAGAATAAGAATTAATAAATTGTTATCTTTTACAGGCATGATAAAACTTAAACTAGTAAAATATTATATATACATCTAATAATATATGTACATTTACAAAATAAGAAATAACTTGATATATTTCATGATTTGATATAATTAATGACAGTTGATTTGATATGACAACTTTTTTTTTCCACACCTGTACCAAATAGTTTTAATATCCAGCATAAAATTTTGAAAAATGAACGTTGTAAGATTTATACCGATTCATTATTGCTCCCTTTTTTCCAGCAAAGACAATAACATTTTTTTTTTATTGTTTTTTTGCTCTATGGATTCTGATAGATTTCGATTTCGCCGGGATGCCGTTTTATTGAGTTCTCTGTGGCCGCCATCTTGTTTTATTCGATGAATGGATTGAATGGCGTTGTGCTAAGCTTTATAACAAAGTCAAGAATACTTGAAAAGTTAATTGGCTAGTTAAGTGACATCTTATTTAAATCATTTACCAATAATTATAAATCTTAAAAATTAAATAATCATGGGCCGCGGCAGGTATGTAATCCAACTCTGTATTTTGTGCTCGGCTAAACACATTGTGCTAAAAATGTGCATTTATAAGACTGCGTTGTTCATTTGATTTTGTTTATTTTATTTAGAGATCGTAGTCGTGATAGACGTCGGAGCCGAAGCCGTAGTAGAAGCCGCAGTAGAAGCCCGCGTTATGGCTTGGGTTCAGGAGGCGGAGGAGGTTACGGGGGTGGTGGGCGTAGAAGCAATCCCGGTGCAAATTTACGTAAACCGAAATGGGATTTAAGCAGATTGAAACCTTTTAAGAAAGATTTTTACATCCCTCACCCCGATGTTGAAAATAGAACCGACTCGGAAGTGGAAGCTTGGAGGAGTGAAAATGATATCACCCTCAAAGGACGGAACATTCCAAAGCCGACATTGACGTTCGATGAAGCTGGGTTTCCTGATTATGTTATGGATGAAATTGAAAAAATGGGATTTTCTAAGCCAACTCCAATTCAGGCTCAAGGTTGGCCTATAGCGCTCAGTGGACACGATATGGTCGGAATTGCATCAACAGGTTCAGGAAAGACCCTGTCGTATATTTTACCTGCAATTGTACACATAAATCATCAACCAAAGTCTAGTAGGGGAGATGGTCCCATTGCTCTTGTACTCGCACCCACTAGAGAGTTAGCACAACAGATACAAGAAGTTTGTGACAAATTTGCTAATACATCAAAGATACATAATACCTGTCTATTTGGTGGAGCACCAAAAGGGCCACAAGCTAGAGATTTGGATGCAGGTGTGGAAATTGTTATTGCTACACCTGGTCGACTCTTAGACTTCCTAGAAAGTACCAGAACAAATTTAAAAAGGTGTACTTATTTGGTATTAGACGAAGCTGATAGAATGTTGGATATGGGTTTTGAACCACAGATTAGGAAAATCATTGAACAAATTAGACCTGATCGTCAAACACTCATGTGGTCTGCAACATGGCCTAGAGAAGTTCAGAGTTTGGCAGCTGAATTTTTAAAGGATTATTTACAAATCAATGTTGGGTCACTATCCTTAGCAGCTAATCATAATATTTTGCAAATAATAGATGTTTGCATGGAGTATGAAAAGGAAACTAAGTTAAGTACACTTTTAAAAGAAATAATGGCAGAAAAAGAAAATAAAACCATAATTTTTATTGAGACTAAAAGACGTGTTGATGATATTACCAGAAAAATGAAAAGAGATGGGTTAGTATGGATGATTTTAATCTATGAAGAGATAACATATACAAAGAAAATAAAATAATGTTTAATTTCAAACTTTTTCTAGATGGCCAGCAGTATGTATTCATGGAGACAAGTCACAAAATGAACGTGACTGGGTCCTTCAAGGTAAGATTAATAGTCAAATATACTTGAATACTGTCTGATAATTCATATTTGATTTATTATTTTGACAGAATTTTAAATAATTTAACTATATTACATCAAAGGTGGTAACCAAACTGAGTCTGAATCAAACTTAGTGCTGTACGATAACAAAAAACATTAAAAAATAGCACTGGTCGTCGAGAAGCGGCGACGGACAGTACGTCGCGAGCGCGGAGCGTGTGTGCGTGGCCTTGCAGTAAATATTCTATGAACTGTCTGCATGTGCAGGCGGAGGCGAGCTGCGGCGCCGCACGGCCGCGCGGGGACGGACCGCGGTGCGTCGCCTAGCGGCGGCGAGCCGCAGCGTCCGCGCCGCGCCCGCCTCTAGTTGACGGGGCTAAGCCCTATACGCACTGACTCGCTCCCGCGGCTAGTCTGAGCCGCTTCTCGCGCGTGGCGCGAGGGGCCCGGTCTGTAGCGCTGTCCGGCGGCGGCAGGCCAGCGCCGCCGCGCCTCTTCGACCTGTTGGCTCTCGGTTCTCGCCCACGTGCTGACGGCCGACTTCTCACCCCTCGCTCACAATTATAATTTTTTGCGCAATATATGACACGGAATCCATGTTATTAGTAAGTTTAATACAATAGTGAATGGATTAAATTATACTTTACGTCTCTCATTAAACCTCTAAAGGTTGTCCTCAGTTTTCATTATACATCTCTATTTCTTTAAGTTTTTCGTATTTCTTTGTTACGTATATCTAATTTTTTATACTTAATTTGTTTCTATCCATTTATCTGTATTATGGTAATTTTATGTATTGTAATATTTATTAACATTGGTGGCCTGAAAGGGGTGAAATGTGAGATGAATAGTAATTGATTGCATCTAATGGGGCTAAATTTAATATCATTATGCTTGTATTTTGTTATACAACAGTCGAAAGTTTGATTGGTACCAGCACAACTTATAGGATCAATAGCGCAACTAATTTGTGAGCAAAAAGACTACCATTATAATTGTTTTATCTATTCTAAGTTTTTGTAAAATATCTCCTCTTTCTCTTTTCCTCATTTTTTATGTGTTTTCATAAATTGTGATTAAGGAATCGTCTAAAGGTCGTTGGAACTTACATAAAATATATATCAGGTTATTCATTACATGTCATTGAATACACTGAGTGCGTTTATGGCTAGAATTATATTTGCCATTCATGAAGGACTACAATTAGAAATACTATTACAGTATTAATTTCAGTCTACTACTTTGGAACTTAATCAGATTTCAGCTAAACAGGATGTAATTTACACCCATCTTACATAACATCTTAGTGTTCGCTCTGTGTTGCAGCAGGGTCTCTATTCACTAAGCTGGTGATTTTGACATGGTATGTCATTTGATTTCTTGCCGCCTTTGAAGTTGAAGCGAACTTTTCGTGTCTTAGTTCGTACGTGCAAAAGGAGAATCATACCCTCTTCATTCATCATTGACTTTACAAGTTTTAGTTGATCAATCTACAATCTGCAATTTTATGTGTCACATGCTGACATATTTGCAAATTGTTGTTCCTAATGAAACCAAGATAGTATAAGAAACTATGTTTCATATGACATCACTCATGATCAGTGATAACACAAACAATTACACCATAATTCCAAATGTTTAAATGTATAATTTCTTACAGACTTTCGTAGTGGAAAAGCTCCCATTTTAGTAGCTACTGATGTCGCTGCAAGAGGCTTAGGTAAGTTTTCATTTTGCAGGATTCTTGATCCTGGATATTGTTCATGTTGTTATACACATGTCAGTAAATATGAGTACCTATTCAAATTAGATTGTAAACCCTAAACAATGAAACAATTGCATTTTTTCCTAAATCAAAGTGAAATAGATATATTTAATGGGTACTAGCTGGGGCCCGCGACTTAGTCCCAATGGAATTCGAAAAGCGCTGCCTTAGTGGATTCGATTCCCGGACCTGGTAAAATTTTATAGGGGTTTTCTGGTGAAAAAAATAGCCTACTCCATATATAGACAAGCTACCTGGTAGTAAAATATTATCAAATCGGTCAAGCCGTTTTGAAGATTACTCGGAACAAACAGACAGACAGGCAGACAAAAAATATTTGAACTGGTTTTTAGGTATAGGTATCGTGCAAATAACAGTGTGAGCATGAAAAAAAAACATTATTTTGACATTATAAACAGACTTCAATTTTATTTATTTGTATAGAGTATAGATGGTAGACCTAATTTTCCTCTCTCTTTAGTGCATTAATGAGGTGCTCTTAGAGTTTTTAAAGATTAATGTAAGCCCATTATTTTCAGATGTTGACGATGTTAAGTTCGTCATCAACTTTGATTATCCCAGCAACTCTGAAGATTACGTGCATCGTATCGGAAGGACTGGGCGAACAAATAAAACTGGAACAGCATATACATTCTTTACTCCATCCAATGCCGCAAAAGCCGCAGATTTGGTTTCTGTCTTGAAGGAAGCGAAGCAAGTAGTCAATCCTAAATTGCAAGAGCTAGCAGAACGTGGAGGTGGAGGAGGTCGACGTAAGTAAAGATTCTAGTATTTTATTTTCGTCGAGTTGTCGCAAACAATATTTATGTGATATATAAATATTTGTGATTATTTTCTTTTCTAGGACATAGAGGACGCGGTGGCAGATATCGAAGAGGGGGACGTCGCTCTCGCTCACGCTCGCGATCACGTCGCCGCCGTTCCCGTTCACGATCTCGATCACGTGACCGTCGGCGTCGACGTCACAGCTCCTCTAGATCGTCGCGAAGCAGATCATCCAGGTCTTCTAGAAGTCGTTCGCGGTCCCGTTCCCGTTCGCGTAGCCGATCTCGCTCAGGCAAGTGCAGCCCACAGAAGGATAATAAGGATTCAGGCCTACAACAGGCGCCCCAAGCTCTTCTACCCACACCAAAACCCCTTCTACCCACACCTATTGGTCCTCAACTTCCTTGTCAAGTTGGCAAAGGCCCTTCCACTCCTCCTACAGATAATTGTACCAATCAAACAGATAAAGTAGGTATTTTGCCTAATAATAATAATTTAACCAATAATATTAATACAAGTTATCCCCCACAAACTGGCCAAATTCCTTCATTGATGGCTATTAATCCCCAAATGAGCATGTGTGCTCCGCCCCCTATGAGTGGTCCGGGTTTTGCTATGCCTCAGTTTTTTCCTGATCAGTATGGTATGATGCTACCTAACTTCTCTACACCACCAATGCTTCCACCTGGTGCATGGGCGGCGCCACCTCCTCCTCCACCTCCACCTCCACCCAACGATTCTTCGACTAACGGGAATCACGAGCAAAGGGGCCCTGGATCAAATGGCCACGAGTCAGATTCCAGAAAACGCGGAGCTCGTACAGGCGGGCTCGGCAGCTCAGGCGGGCATTCATCCAGCCTAGGCGGGCTCGGCTCGAGCGGCGGCGTTCTCAGCTCAGCTGCTAGCTTAGGCTCTGGCGGTGGACTGGGCACATACAGCGGCTTGGGCTCAGGCCCGTCTGGAAGCAGACTCGGCTCAGGTGGCGGGCTTGGCTCTGGCGGTGGACTAGGCTCGAGCGGCGGGCTAGGCTCAGGCGGTGGGCTCGGCTCGGGCGGTGGACTTGGCTCGGGCGGCGGGCTCGGCTCTGCGGGCGGGCTGTCTGACGCTCCGCCGCCACCCCGCTCGCGAGGTCGTGATAGGCGACGCCGCGGAAGAGGACGGGATTACGACGACTCAGATTTGGGGTCTGGAGGTCTTGGGTCCTCTGGACTTGGACTCGGGTCCTCTGGACTTGGACTCGGGTCCGCCGGACTCGGTGGCCCCGACGGCAGCAGCTTTGGTCAACCTGGCAGTGGCTACAACCCTGGCGGTCTCGGCGTACCTCACGGGAGCCTATTGCCGCGCATGCTCCCTCAAAATGGCGGCGATGGCGTAGGACCACAGGGTGCGAATTTTACCGCCTTTGGGTCTTATGGGCCCAAAAACAAGCAGGATTTCCAAAAAAATGAAAACGGCCAGGGTTACAATGATACAAGCAATAAAATGGAATATTATGGTCCACAAAACATGGGTCCCGGGCGGCCTTACGCAGACGGTTTAGATACGGCTGATTCCAACGGTGCGCTGGCAAATGGCTCCGTGGGGTACAATAACGACCGCCAGAGGAATCGCCGACGATGAATACTATTGAGGTTTGTTATATTCAAACCAATGCCAACTCACCTTATTTAACAATTCACTATAAATGTGCTCAGATATGTTGTAATGGTGGCATATCCAAAACGAACATTATTCTTGTATTTAGATATTAATATTTTTTATATTCAACTTCAATTTGGTTGATATATTACTATTATATACATTGTGCTATAAACTGACTTGTAAAAAATAGTATAAATCATTTTTTAATAAACGAAAGTTTTTCTCTTTTACAGAAAATGGATATAATGGGGACTCTCGTCGACGCAGGAGACGTTAAACAAAATTGGATTATTTTAGTGATTAAGATCTTGTAGTTACATAAGTTTTGACACAGACATTATAAAATTTTCATTCCATGTTGTATTTACTTGAAGTGTGTTTGTTACTGCAGTGCAACCGAAATTAGTGGTTACTTAGTACACACATTTGTAAAAAGCCATACCCCCCTGTACTCTTACTCATATATTGTATTATTTAGAATTCAGAAAAAGAAAACAAATAGTTTACATTTATTGCAAGATGTTGGGAAATAAATCCGGGTACTGTGTGGTACACTAAACGCAGTTTGCAAAATTAAAAGAAGCATAGCTATTATCGCATACATGTATAATTCCCATAAGAAATTTGATAACTGTTGCATAATTCTGTACTTGCATAGATAACTTTTTGTTATTTCTTTCACACCATTTATTTTAACATTTCATTTGTTAATATACTGTTATCGTAAGGTTTCATAAGTTAACAAGGTTATGTTAAGCTAGTATTATACGAGTCTTACATATTAATTTAGGTAAACGGTAAATCTATACCTATGAATCTTTTGATTAGTAAAATGTATCTCTTAATATAGTGTGATAAATGATGTGTAATGTGAATGAAATAAAACAGTTTTACACTAATTGAATTTTAGTTTTACTAAAACGTTAGGTTTTAAGTCGTTAGTAGTCACAGCTCTTATTGTAGGTTTAAGGCATAGAGCAACACAGGCCACCGGCGGACCGATGGGGAGTAGCCATAGCGTCGATTGAGGAGTCATTTTAGATTTTAAACAGAAACGTCTCCCGGCACCCCCCGCCCCTCCTCACAATGATTACCTGCTATTTAGTAGGTGAGAAAATAATTTATAACCCGGCAATCTCGTGCGCGACCGTCCCGCGGGGTGACAGACAGTGGCGGGGGCGAGGTAGCGCGTCATTCTAGCACACGGCTACACACGAAGAGAAGTGTGCCAGGATAAATCTTGCGATAAGTTGTACTTACTTGTGACGTAATATAGGAGTAAATAAAAAGATAGAACTACTTTTATTGTTTATATTTTTTTATTATGCTTGAGGACAAATTACTAGGAAAACTAAAATTATGATAGATTGTTTTATAATAAATCAATTTCCATATCAGGTTCATGTTCACTCACGGTTTGATCTTCATCATCACTTTCGTCGTCATCATCATCGTCGTTTTCATTCAGTTGAATTATGAGTCTAAAAAGATAAAAATGTACTATAGAAATAAACAACTTCACATAAAATGACCTGATTCCGAGAATTATAGCTTGAGCACTCTGCCCAGTTAAAGCGATAATAATCGATTATGTTAATAAACAATAACGTACCTGTCCATTTCATCGTCACATACTCTCTGAATTATAATATTCGTCCTCGTTGTTTATGACGTGATTATCACAATTGCGCCACTGTTCAACTGAATAATTGGAAAAAAGCAATTCTCAAGCTTTTAACTTTTTATCTAAGTTCGAATCAATGGAAGTCCTTGCGAGCAAGGCCGTCTTAGGCCACGCCGAGGCCCCTGGGCACACAAGAATTAGGGGCCCTGTTGGACAGTTAACAAAATGAATGGTGAAAATATTTTTAATTATGATCTTTTACTTAAAATGATTTATTGGCAATCAAGTATACCTATAATTAGAGATATTAATTAGATAGATACATTTACGAGTAAGTATAATAGATATACATATGGGATGTTAATTAGACAAGCATCTTTGAATTGATGGTTTGAATCAGTTAGGTACAATTACGACAGTGATTTTTTTCGGGATTTCTGTTGTGGAAATTCTTCCATTATATCTTCAAAGTCAATTTTTTTGAGGATATCATTTTCTATACACATAATTGATAAATAGGTACGTTAGTCGCTCTTGTGACGCTGATGTTCGTAATTTATTTTTTATTCGCTTTAACTTTGAAAATGAGCGCTCTCCGCTGCAATTGGTAACCATTAGTCATAGAAACATTCTTGTAGCCACTTCAACATTTGGAAAAGTTTCTTCTAATCAATCGGACTTTATTAAATTATGTAAGTTTGAGATACTCAAATCAGCTGATTCCTTTGATATACTCTTTAAATGAAAACACTCTGATTTGAGCTGATATGCATTAATGTCTTCGTGATAGAATTCTTTAAATTCATTGCATTTTTTTGTTAACTCGTCAGAATCAATTGTTGTTAATTGTGAAAGAAAACGAAAACGATCGTGAATTTCTTGATACGCTACCAAACGATTTTTTAAATGTGCATTTAATGTATCTATTATAAGGATAAATGTATCTATACGAAATTTTTCCTTCCCATGCAACTGCACAGTCTCTGATGATCCTTCAAAGAAAGTAACGCGTGTGCTGCGAATTCTATTCCTGTCAAATTTATAGTCAGCATTTGGATTTTTTTCTTTAGCAGATGCGTAAAGCTTTGTGGCAACGTCCATGGTAATAGTGCTATCCTGTAAGCTTAAACTTGTTTTGTTTATAATTCCCAAAAAATCATTCCATATTTCCGTTAAAAGTATTGTGTTCAATTTTTCAATTTTTTTCCTTGTTTCTTTGTCTTCGTTTCTTGTTTCTCCTGGTTGATTGACATCACTTGCTATCGAGGACAAAGTTTCAGAAATATTTAAATAACCATTTTGTAAAGCATTAATGGCATTTGCACGTGCAGACCATCTGGTATCCGGCACAGACTTCAAGACTTTATTTGTGCCTAAATTCTCTACCATAATTTTCCATCGTTTGGTCAAAGCGGAAAAGAAATTGAACAATTTTTGTATAAACTGAAAATTTGCTGCAGCTTCGGAAACACAATCAATAGCTTGAACACCTACTTAATTTAGCGAGTGTGCTGCACATGGGACAAAAATTGCAAATTTGCATTTTTCTTTTATTCTTGACTGAACACCAGAATACTTTCCAGCCAAATTTGATGCATTATCATAACTCTGTTCACGACAATCTTTTTTAGGCTTTCCATAAAGTTCAAAATGTTACCTGCTAAGTATTCTGCATTATGTTTATCTATAGGCAAGAACTGTAGAAATCTCTCAATAGGCTCTCCATCTTTTACGTATCTAACGATGAAAGTTAGTTGATCAACGTGAGAGAGATCTGGCGTAGAATCCACGCTTATATAGTGGCACATGTGACTTGTAATAAAGTTGATAAAACAGAAAAGAAAATTGAATATGCCATCATTTTACATATTTAAATTGTTAAAAAGTGGTGATTCAGAAGAGCTCGTGATAATTAATTACTCATTATTTATTTCTTTTTAACCAATAAAATTTGGCGTATTTTTAACTGTTTTCATCGACACTAATAAAGAATCAGTTAGTAGTGAGTTTTCTAACAGATGACGTTAGTAGTAATAGTCCAATCTGTATTAATAATTTCGTCAAGGACTACGGTAGACTCGATCGAAACCTTACCTGAATGAAACATAAAAAAATAAATCATATATCCGCAAAATTCGGATTGTCGAGTATTTTGTTTAATTCCAATGGTGCTGACAGACAAATCGCAGTCGCCATATTGGCTACTCTAGCGAAACGTTAGAGGTTAGAGAGAGGAGAACAATCGCTGTAGAAAATAGTGTCCCAGAAATATGATGATAATTTAAAATGGTATATTTAAGGTGTTTACGATTTACGTTCAGGGATTCCCCGTGCTTAATTTCGCCTGTCACATTGTAGAAAATGTCTTCGGCTTATGCTTTTATGTGCGAGCAGCAGTATGTGTTGCGATGCAATTTTTTTGTTTAATGTATGATCATTAAAACTAATTCCCGGGGCCCGGGGCCCGGGGCCTCGCAATGGCTAAGGCCGTTACTGATCATTGGCTTGTCAGTGCTTAGAGTTGCCATAAAGTTGCTAAAAAGGCCCATTTACTTTTTTTTCGGAAAATATCGATATGAATTTGAAAAAAAAAATTGAGGTAAGCGAATATTTAACGTGCTATGTATTTGCTTTTTGGAGGCCCCTTGACGATGGAGGCCCTGGGCACGGGCCCCGTGTGCCCTTATGGTAAAGACGGTACTGCTTGCGAGCTCGCCTTTTACGTACCCCCACACGAGTTCTATTGGATTTAAATCCGGATGGTATGGGGGTAAGCGAAGCACGATATGTCCATTTTCCTTTAATATTTCATCAATTTTGTACTGTTTCTCCGTGTTTTGCTCATTAATTATTTTCATTAGATCACATTTACGCATAGCGCTATCAAACTGAACACCTCGCCGTTCTAACCACTGCTGCATTTCGCTTTTCAGGGTACTCATTATAGGTTTTTTATCGATCTGAGTGCTATGGTAAGCGGCGTTGTCCATTACAATAACAGAATTCGGAGGAATGTTTGGTAACAGTTTTTCATCGATCCACTTTCGAAAATTTGTGGCATTCATGTCTCCATGATAATCACCGGTCTTGGAATGCGATTTGAACATCAATAAAGCATCAACAAAGCCATTGCGACTGCCAGCGTGTACAATTACAATACGAGGTCCTTTACCGATGTTTTGCATAGCCCCGCGTTCTGTATCAGACTGCCAGCATTTTTGTGTCACGTGATTTTTATTCACGTAGGTTTCATCTAGGAAAATTATTGACACCCTCTCGGCGGTATTTTTTAAAAATCACAATCACATGTTAAAAATAATATAATTTATAGATCATATCATTACACCTATGACAGATTTAGAAAGCCACTTAATTATTATTATTACGCTAGCGCAAGACTTGCGAAACGTCTAAAATCTAAATAAAAGTAATCTTTGATAAAAATAATTTTGATGGAATTTATCTTTGTCTACGACATCACAATCACATGTGAAATCGCTTTGTAATCATTTCATTAAATAAATGTGATTGCAAAACAGCAATAATTTTACATGTCTACTTTTAATGTGGCACCTCAATCTATATTTAAGAGCGTAAATTGCCATGAAAGTAATAGGTTAAAATTTGTATTCATCTCTAAAAATATTTAGTACTTAGTAAGTGCGTTTGAATTTGTAGCATCAGGAGAAAGTAGTAAAACTGAGTGGATTTACTAAATAAACGCATTTTATTTGGCTCCTCAATTCTGACGGTCTGCAACAAAAACAAAAACCGGGCTAAGGCTAGTGTCACCCCCTATGCTTGGCGAGGTCGAGGTCCGAGGGATGGGAGGCCCTGGAGCTCGTCCTGTTGTCTGTGCAAACATATTTCCTTGTCTGTCTTTACTCTGGAAGATGCTCTAAAATAATCTTAGAACACATGCTCTTACGTATTTTCTTCTAAATCTCCTCATTTTAAAAACCAAAACGAATCTTTCAATCTACTTATAATATTTTTACAACTATGTAACTGAAATGTCCTACATCATCGTGGTTTATTCTCAATAACTGCCACCTGACCAACCTTAGTACCAACCAGCGTAAGTTGACCGAACACCTTTTAATTTATAGTTATTTATAAACATCTACTACGAATTTCTTGTATTTGCTTGATAATACTTATTTTATCTGTTTAATCTCATCTTCTTCACTTTGTACCGTAGCGATCCAATCTCATGCATCTACTTTGATGTTATTACACTAGATGCATGAGATCACGTGTGCTATGTCAGAAGTAGTCGGTTCATCGACAGGATAAATGTATATATGATGTAATATACTATCGCTCTCAACGGATCGTTGAGACCGATAGTCAGCGTCTAGTCAGCGTTGCACGAGTATACCTGCAACACCATGCTTAGATGCGTCTGTATGTAATTCTGTATCTAATTTAGCATCATAATCATCATAGGGTATATCTACCCAGTGGCGGATTTACATATTTGCAACCAGTAGGCTATTACATTTTTGCCATAAGGCATACTGCTGGCGGTGTCATTGGACATCGCCAACGCATTCAATAGCCTGCCATTCAGCTACATCAAGGAGGCACTCAACTATTAAGGGGTGCTAGAGTACCTAAGGCGGCTAGAAGCAGACTATTTAGACTCTAGGAATAAATCGTGTGTCTCGGGGGACTTTACAAACATATATGAAACGGACACAAAGAACACCCAGACTCAGAACAACAATTTGTGGATCATACAAAGTGTTGTCCCATGTGGGGATCGAACCCACAATACTGAGTGCACGTCATTGAAGCGCTGGACTTACGGATTGCCCTGTATAAGATGGAGGCTCTTACTTCATGAGCCCGGTCGTGGTTCATCCCCTGACGCCTCGATCATGGTCAACTCGATCCTCGTACCGATTCAGGTCCAGATGAGGTATCTTGGCCTGATCCTTAACGGGAGGTGGCTTTTCAACGGCACAGCTTGCTCCAGCTTGGTCGGTGCTGGGTCTGCCCTTCGGTGAGTTCTGCCCAATTAGGGTGGACCCAGCGGTGGACGGCTGGAGTTGTCCGGTCAATGGCACTGTACGGTGCATCAGTGTTTACCGTGGTTCTGACCGCCCAGGGTAGGGCGCCCCTCTGGCGTCCACAGAAGGTATCGGCAGTCGGCCCCACTGGAAGAGGTAAGACCTTATTCGCCGCCGGCGAACCGAGAGGCGGATGCACAAAAAAAATGTACAAAGGTGGACGTAATGCCTTAGGCATTATCTGCCAGTTTACCTTGGGGGATGTAGAGATGAGTGATTAGGTGCACTAAACTTGAATAAAAAGTTTCAATATCAATAACAAGACTTAACTAAGAAATACATTCACACAAAAAGATACGCAAAAAAAATGCGGGTAGAAAAAGGCATGAATATATATTCATATTCATTAGAACTTTCTTACAAACATACATATATCTATACATCGTATACCTACATACGTACAAACATGTACATACATACATACATTTACAGAATTTACATTACATACATACATTTACAGTAAAATATATTAGGTATTAATCCAATGATGATGAAGCTTCTTTGTGTGTGAGGAGAGCTCTCACTTTGGCCTTGAACGAATGACGACTGGGTGCCATTCTGATTTCCAGAGGGGGAAGGAGGAGGAGGAAGATCGTTTAAGAGGAGAACAGTGTGAATGAGGAGGGAAGAATGAACACACGCGGAAGTATGAGATGGGCATAACAGAAGAAGATTGGTTAATGTGCGAAGGGTTCTGTCATGATTTGAACAATTTTTAAAATATTGTTATTTTTGTTAAATTTTCAAGACTTTTCCTCCGTGTATTGTATTATTTAACTAAGACAAAAAAGTTTTTGGGCCAATTTTTGTCGCCTTAGGCTCCAGCCTACTCAGCCTGCTGGTAAATCGGCCACTGTATCTACTTATACTTTTTTATTATATTATATTACACACTAGATTAGAAGACATCATTAACACGATGCCGTCCATTTCACTTGCGCAAGAAAGAGACAACGTTATGTCTTCTGATACCGGCGCGACGGCCGGTGCCGATGGTGTCAACGAGAGTGCGCGAGTGTGTTGGGTTTTAAACCGAATCAAATTGATTATTAAAATCGTTTAAAAACAATGAAAAAAAAATTATTTAGCAACACAGCTTTTGATTTATCAATAGAGTTTTTATAACTTAGGTAGGTAATACCTACGCTTGGTCGGACGGACCAACTAGAACTAAACCCGCTAAAAAAGTATAAAAAAAATACACCGTTTATAGGTAGGTACTCCGGCATATCCCAACATCGGTAAAATCAAGAAAGCATATAAGTAGTTATAATTAAGAAAAACATAGTCATCAACACTAACCGTTTAATAGAAAAAAATGGTTTATTTCGGTTTTAAACGATATCACGTAAAATTTATTTTATTTTATTCTCATGTCCATTTTGAATCTATTCAGAACTCAATCTGCATTTCGACAACACCAAAGAAGCCCTCGCCATATGAATAGAATTAACAAAAACCTAAAAGCGCGTTCGACGCGTGGCCAACGTCTGAACGTAGTATAAGATTGTTTGTTACCATGGCAGCTCATTTTAAGTAAATTATTCTTTTGAGATTGTTTTAGTTCTTGCAAATTAGATAAGACTACATAAATAGGAATATTTGAAAACTACAACAAACTTAATACATCAAGTACAATAAATTACCTGTGAAATTGTGTGGTTAACTTATAAAAATGACTTTCTGTGTTGACCTGGTGTCAGAGGATTCTTTTTATGAAAATATTACTCTAGGAGTAACCAAGATCTTGGGTTGGTATTACAATGAAATTAATATCACATAACATCTTAACAATTTATTTACTTAAATACACTAAGATACAATCTCAATAACTTTATTAGTAGGAGTTAGCTTTATGTTTTGGCAGGAATATAAATCCGTCTGGTACAGGACCTAATAACATCTCACTAATTTTTATCCAGTCAGAGCAGTTACCTGAAGCCATTAATGTTTCTAAATCATCTCTACCAAAATATGTTGGTGGTCTCTCATTAATTTTTTGTGGTGGTTTTTCTAACAATCCCACGGGTACATATCTATATAAGAAGGATAACCATTCAAGTAGGAATCGACGTGTGTTTTCAACCCCCTGAATATCAGAGCCCCAGTGTTCCAGTCCATAATTGGTGTATTTTTTAAGAATATCAAATCTTTCACTACTGCTGATATCCCATACTTTCTGTTCTTTTATTTCAGTAAATATCCATGGTTTTATAAGGGCTCCTCTTCCAATCATCACTCCTTGTACTGTTGGTGCTATATTTCTCCTACTAACATAGTCATCATAGCTTAGAATGTCGCCATTACCATAAACTGGACAAGGTGCCGCTGCTTTTGCACAAGTTTCAATATATTCCCAATCAGATGACCTGGTGTATCTGGCTTCTCTTGATCTTCCATGAATTGTTATGAGTGAAGCCCCCCAATCAGCCATTTTTGGTACAATAGTGTGTGTTATTTTCTTGTCTTGATAGACACCAGTCCTCATTTTAACTGTGAATGGAATACTTAGTAGTTTTGAAGCACATGTGACAGAAGCCTCTAATGTTGATAATCTGTGCATCATACCGCTACCTCCACCTTTCTTGTATATTAAGTCAATAGGACACCCTAAATTTAAATCGATGAAATCAAGTTCAGTATTCTCTTGGAGTAATTGTGACACTTTAGTGATTTGGTATATATTGGTCCCACATATTTGTGCACCAAATAAGTCCTCAGATTCGTGTCTTTTGACAAGAGCCCACTCTTGTTTTAGACCTTTGAGTAACGACTCACATAATGCCATTTCTCCACAAGTTATATCTGCGCCAAACTGTTTACAGATTCTCCTGAATGGAAGATTGCCAACAGTTGTTAAAGGACTGAGGTATAATTTATCTTGCCAATCTATTTTCTTCTTTTCTCTTGGCAATAATTTAATCAAATCCTCATCTGTGATTGCACCACTGTTATTAGTTTTTTGGTCTGCATTGTTATCAGATTGGTTTTCCAAGGACTCTGGATTTTCTGTACACTGGTTTTGTATGGGCTTCTTTTTTTTGTCCATATATTTAACAAGTGTCTCAGAAAAGTTAAAATTATATTTTCTTTTCTGAAGCAAAGTTTGAAGAGATGGTTGGATAGCATTTTTTGTATCTTCTTTCCATTGGTTCACTTTTTCTATGTCAATGACATTATACCCCTCTGGGGTAATATGACTGGACCCAAAACGACAGGCTATTCCTCTTGAGCACCGACCTCGCAGATTGAATAAATGACAGCTTTCACCCAAATCTTTAGGTTTTGATTTTAAATATTCCATAGGATTATGGATATATTTGCAGTTTTTGTATTCACAAGGCTTTAAACTATCTTGTGATTCAGCAGTAACTATAGATGGACATGGTTTGCTTTCTTTGTCGTTTTGAAATGTTTTTGGACGAGCTTTGTTTTGTCCTCTCTTTTTATTTTTTGAATTTTTTTCATCATTTGTTTTACACTTCTTGGTTTCTAAACTATCATCAACCTCGCTCGTATCATTAAACTTACGTTTAGAAGGATTTGCATCAGCATTACTAGTTTTAGCCGGTCGTGGTATAATGAATTCTTCTTTAATGGCGCAAACACCTGCCATTAAATTGGCCATAATGTATAAGAAATTATTACTAATACAGTTTTATATTATACAATGCCTTTTTAAAAGGTTATAATATCATTCATACTCCGAGCGGTCAGCGGTGTGTCAATCAGATGTCACTAATGACATTTATCAGCTGTATCAGTTTTTTAATCTGAATTTAAACTTTATGATTTGGTACAAAGGCTATTAGAAAGAAGATTAATAAAGATTAATCGTGAGTAGTATTAATATATTTCTACTCACGATTATTTTTTGAACGATATATGGTGTAGTTATACTCATGTACTCACATATCTGCTTTTTACGAATTATGGTTCCTGACACCAACGCGGCAGGGTGCTTCACAACTTTAGAAGACCCCCGTCGGGTCCGACACTACTCAATCACCCCCAAAACACATACACGTGTATACAATATTTTATGTCATGAAATTACTACTTTACAGAGGCTGATCCCCGTATATGTGATGTTAATGTTGAACGCAGATCCCCTTGTGATCGTATAGCTATTACAACATGGGAACAACGTCATTCTGCGGTATTGCCGGAGGATTTAAGAAATTTTTATGCATCGACTGATGGATTTAAACTCACATGGCATTACAAGTATTCAGGTTAGATTGGAATACTGTTATTACCCATGGGGCCCTTTGTGTGTTTTCTTGCTTTTTGGTGAGCAAGCTTGAGTAGTTGAGTCTTAAAGGCGTGATAAACAAACTAACTTGGATTCCGTCTTATAATTTTGCTAGATGTTATGTCACGACTTCGCTTGTATAAATATAGATTTTGCCCGTAAGGTCAGTGATCTCTTGGCATGAATAGGCACTCGTTTCTTGCACACTCTGGTGCATGGAAGGTACCCAATGGCACTTTCTATATCCCTGACAAGATTTTAAAGAACAATGGCGAATTCGTAATTGAGTATAATTTGAGCGTCTTAAAATGTCATTCATAGGAAACTGATTCCAGTAAATATCATGTTTTTTTAAACTATCATCTAAGTCAGTAAAACCCCAGGAAAAAAAGTGAAATATTTTAAGCTTATTTGATTGTTTTAATTTCCTTTATCAGTTTAGTATTACCATTTTACAGACATGTTTTTCAAGTAGTGGAAATACTGTCCAATAAAGTATCGTAATATGGTATTCACTTAATAGTAATATGGTAAGCAGATAATAGTTTTATAATTCCCAGTACTAAATCAATAAGAATATAGTTTGTGGTGCATTATTAAACGTATTTGAAATTCCTGTAGTGGAATATAAGGAAGGAAAAAAAAAACTGGCACCTGCAAGTTAAAAAAAAGCAAAGGTTCTTTGACAACTCGTGACGGATGTTGTGCTCTGTGTTTAAAAATAAAGACTAAACGTCTGACGCGACAAGCTACGTTATTAAAGACTTAAAGAGAATTCACAGATAAAAAAAGCAGTACGTAACTGAAAAAAATCAAATGCTAATATCTTTTTTCCTACCCGTTTCCAAACAAAAATTGTTTTACACATATATTGTACAAAATAGCATAATTTTTTAATATTTTTTTCGCTACAAGACTGCAATTTGATTCCAAATATTTTTTGTATGGAGACCCGCCATTGTTCTTTTGCATTTTTAATTACTTAAAATCCGTTGCTGCTGCTTTAAAAGATCTAAGTGTACGGGTTGCGGAATACTATGTAAATATACTCTTATTTGCATTGTTCCCTAGCGGTTTGTAATATTACGTCAATTTTTACTTTGTTATTACTCACCATAACTTCAAAACGAATTGACCGATTTGAATAGTTAAAAAGTAATTTGCACATAATATTTATTTATAATAATTTTATTACTATCATGATTATGATTAATATCATGATACTGATATAATCACTTTTTGTTTTGAACTATATTTTAGTAGATTAATTTGAACAAAAAATGTACCAATGTTCTATAACATTTAGATATACCTCCTCGCAGACTTTTGTGCGCACTGATGAGTTCGTTTGAAATATATCGATTTCTTTATGTACTATTAAGAGATTCTGCAGCGCACGCGAAGATGGCAATTATTTTTGTAAATTTTTTATAACTGGTTGGTAATAGGATATTAGTTATGTTTTCAAAATAATATGTTTCCTATGTTACTAATTGATAATGTAGCTTTTTATAGGTGAAAGAATTTTTAAATCAAAAAGTCCTGCAGTTTCATTCATTACAAACAAACAAATAAAAAATAAAATCTTTCCTCTTTATAGGTAATATTAGTAAAGATAGTATAGAAAGCAGATAAAATGCCGAACTCGTGAGCAGCAAAGATGTGTGTTTGGTAAAGACGTCAACCTATCGAATCGAATATTACCTTAAATGATTCTTTGATTACAGCCGACGAAATTTTACCCGTTGGTTCAATTCGCGTAAATTCTCTAAGTGAGTTATACCTTTCCCCGGGCCTAAAAGATCTTCTAGATTTCTCGCTCACAAGACAAAATAATGGGCCGCGACCAGTCTTGAATACCAAGAGTAAAGTATTTGAATTAGATACATGCAGAACTATTGGCAAGGTAAGCAATTTGAGTGATATATTTACGGAAGAATAAACTTGGATAAGAGTTACAACGTAGTTTGTATTCAAGCACAAAGTCCATCTGAGTCAAGTCTTGTTTTAGAATTGATACAATTAAGAGAATGTGGATCATTTTCTAATTCTTTGTAAAAATTTAATTATGAGTGAACGACTCGTGTAACTAAACATACGAGTATTTTATTTTTGACTGATATTTTTTTACTTAATAATGGTTTATTGTAAACCAGCTCTATTATCGACGCAAATGTCTTTTGTCAAGTCGGATGACTGTATGGCGACTTCCACACACAGCGAGTATAGATCACCATCTGAGAAATTTGTTACTTATTAACTTAAAAACCATAAGTAGTAATCCGGCTCGAAGGACCATGGAAGTTTTAAAATTCAGTACCATCAACACTGTACAATAGTAATCCGGAGGTGATCTTGCACTCCATGGATACTCTGATAATCTTCATTATTACAGATTTGTCTAGTGTACTCTGGAAATGCATGGTCTGTGTGGCTGGTAACCCGTGAAGGCGCTTGGGGTTTGCTCGCAGACTCTTTCACGCAATACTTTCGAATGGCATTAGTTCACTTGGGGCTTCCTGGGTGGCAAGCTGCTTTTGCTAATTTACCATTAATACCCTGGGCTGAAGTAAGAACTTTTTTTTTAATATTAAGACATTTCACATCTTAACATATAGTTAATAAGCACCGATTTCTCGGTAGTGAATGTATCAGGTTAACTAACATTATTTATTATTTTGCGTCAGTTGTTAGAAAATTAAGGAAAATTATTTCTTTTTTTCACTTGAAAATAATAAAGTGGTACTGTGGCGTCCAACTTGGAGGCAGCAGATAGCGATGCGAATTCGTCCAGTTCACAATTTATTCCTTTCTTAGAGATACCTAAAGTTCTGTGGTATACGAACATCAACAGAGTGAATATTCACGGAACTTTAATATCAACAATGTTGTTCATGTTTTCGTTAAATGATTTTTATTTAATGTCTATCGTTTATTTTTTGCAGCAACTCTTTCTACTACTTGCGCCACATTTACTCGACAAGTCGGAATCTGAAAGTTCCTTAATAACGGTTGGAAGCGAAACTGGTTTGAATCATATTGATCCTAATATATTTAAAACTTCTGTTCGTCATCATAAGAACACGTCGCGTCACACGTTGCAATAAAGAACACCTCGAACGATACAACACAGAATGTTTTTTCAAGAAATAAAACATCTTACTATCTTGATATCTTATGAATTGGAAGCCCTAACAGGTTCAGCGAATATGAGCACTTGCAAGACAATTTAGGGAAATTTAGTCACATAAGAAATTATAAAATTGAATGTGTTATTCAATAGAAAGTAAAAAACTAATAAAATATTCACGTTTTCACAGCAGTTTTATTGCAATACTAAGCATAAAATAAAATAAAAGCACATAGTTACATAATGTATATTCAATAATTCTTGACACAATAAATTTATACAGCTAAATAACAAAATAAAATGGACGGAATGTGAGATTCATAATAAAATATAAGCTAGATTCACATCAAAATATTTAATGTAAAGTATATAAGCAAGTAACAATCCTCAATCAATGGTTGCCGCCACGTAATTACACTAACGTTTTATACGTACGGCTCTCGATTTTTTTGGATGACAGATTTTAACTTTTGCATTTCCATAATGTCATGCCAAATTAGATTTTAAGGGTTTGGGTAAGGCGAAAGAAAATTATAACACTTAAACTCACTGTGTATGTGAACAGGTTTTGTAACTCTCACTCACAATATTAGTGCAATGTGTGCAAAGATCTCAAGCTTAAACAATATCTTAATTTTTGCTCAACTTGCATTCGCGTATTCAATCATTCACCTGAACTTGTAACCCCCTTTAATCTGAACCAGATTGTTGCACTTCACACAAATATACAAATACTACATTACTACCTTCTATGATTATTGTTACAAAGAACTGATGTATATGTATTGTGATTTTATAATATAATAATACTTACATTTTAATATTGCTAGCTTGCCATTCAAAAATCTTAAAATAATTTGAAAAAAATAATCTTGAAATAGTAAGGCTGTAAACATAAAAATATACTTCTTGATATTAAATACAATAAAATAATGTGATTCATTTAGTGTGATGTGATACTTTCCAATAATACAAAAAGTATATAATATTATTCATTAAGTAAGCTTTAATTGTAATCATATTAATTATGCTTATTTTTGCCGGCAGTGGTACAAGAATAATGCTTTAAATTAAAGTGTTTATAGTACTAAACACTTAATGAGCTTTGTAACAACTATTAAATAATGGTGAAATAGTACAAAATGTTCTTAATTACTTTATTTAGTTAGGCCTATGTTGCATATTATTTATAAGACTTATATTTAAAATATAAAGACGCTGTTGTACCTCAGGCGGGAATATAATCAATAGTAATAATTTTGCTTCAGAATTTAACTTTGTTGTTATTAATTATTATATTTAGGAATTTTTCTTTCATGAGGGTATATTTACATTATTTCTTATGTATTGCAAAAATATTCAGATGTGCTCACTTACATTTAACTATTTTCATAATACATTTTAAAGCATTTTTATTTTAACTGAACTTCTTTGAAATAATTTTATAGAAATTGCCTTGGTACTCGTATGTCAGTGGTAACAAATTGACGAGAAGTAACATTTAGAGTAAATTATGGAATGCCTTATTTCAACAAATAGCTAACTTGTTTAATATTCATTCGTGGCACATTTTATACATTTTGCATACATTACACATTCTTTTGCAATATTTACCTAAATAAGAATAACTAGATGTTCAAACTTTTAGTGAAGCCATTTTTGTGACATTTATGTACCAATAAAAAAATACAATTATTAAGAATAAAATAATCAAAACCAGACCAAAAATCTTTACAAATCATAAATATTTCGTTTTCGTTTATGTGACAGATTAACGAAATTATTTGTTTAAAACGGGCCTAATTTAAATATTTTTGAAAAATAACTTGAAATAAATTTAAAAAAATAAAGCATATGTCATAGAAATGGCTTTCGTAAAATACTGAATTGTAAATTTATTTTTTATTAAAACTATGTGATGTTTAGTCTTATTAATAATTTTATATATGAAGGTAAAAAGTTTGTATCACACAGTTCAAGGCATTTTAATGCTGGCAACATTAAGCAATTTAAACGGAATATCGCTCTGCTTGAACACGATTGATTTAACGAAGTCAGGCTTAAAGGACAAATTAGTGCGTTAAATATGGCAATCTATAAAAATTTTATAAATAATTTTGCGATGGGATTAATTTTAACTTTTTAAGACTAAAAAGTTGAAAAGCTTGGATATGTTAAGAAACTTTTATGCTCTTATCTTTCAGCGGGCAGACATGCGTCTTCTCGTTCATACCTGAAGGCGCTTGCGTATTTGAAACCGCTAAATAGAATTGTTGGTTGAGTAGTCTGTATATGCTAATAAATCCAACTGACGGGTACCCACTGATGGTCGGTGGATAGCGAATGCAAGGCGTCCATAATCTTAGAGTAACTCGTATCCGTATTATTGTTGGTGATGACGAGATCAATATACTTTTCGTTTTGTCGTTGAATACGGGCGCTCTCTTCTAGGGTTTGCTTCATATCTTCCTCCTGTTCAACAATAAATCTTAGTGTAAACTTTTACTTTTATTACTTCTACCGATGGAGACCACATTATTTAAAATTTCAAAAAATAATAATAGTAAAATAAGAGCGTTAATGACATGCAGAAAGAATTAATATGTAATAAAATAAGGTGTAAAGGAACGGATATAATAGGTAGACTTGACGAAATGTTTACAAAAAATTCATTTAAAGAAAAATAATGCAGTGTCTCGTGTAACAAAGACATTAAATAAACTAATCATAAAATATTAAATAAAATCATAAAATTTTAAACCTCTATTATAGCATTTGATCACGCCAGATATGAAACTTTCACATCATGAAGCTAAATAATTTACTATCACGTGGTGTGTTGCGGCGCTGCCCGGCCACAGTCCATTACGTAATTTATAGACGTATCAATTAAATGTTATTTTATTATTCTTGCTGTACCAATCAATAGATTAAATGTACCACAAACATGTCTTGTTAAAAAAGCAATTGTTTGTGGCCGGGAAGCACCGCATACGTTGCGGCATATAGGTAGCATACTCGGAATTTCCTGAAATATAAACGTAAAATAATGTTCCTTTTGTGTTATTTTTTCCATGAAATATTCTAAGAGAAACGCTCACATAAACAGAAAATGATTTCAAATAAGAAATTGCACTTAGCGCCTTCGCCTCTTCCTTGTTGTTTAATTGCTTACATACTTATATTGCTATTTTAGTAGTTTAGGCGCTCAATGTCCGTGTAGTGACGGATTAAGAATACGGAATGTCACTACCCCAATTCATCCCGTGGGTGTTGTAAGAGCCGTTCTAAGAGCACAAAACAATGCAGGACACCAGCACTGCAAAAAGAAGGAAACTTGACATAAACCCTATGCCAACCCGTCTGGCCAGCGTGGTATAGTAGGCCAAAACCTCCTTTCTAAGGAGAGGCCTATGTCCAGCAGTGGACTATTAAAGGCTGTTGATGATGATGAAATCATTTTCTGTTAAAGTAAGCGTCTATAAAAAACGAAATCGTCTGTGGCCGGGCTGCGCCGCAACACACTATCACATGAAACTATTTTAAGCAGACCTCATTTTTAATTTCTGATGCAATGCCTCAAATGCAATGCAATGAGTCCGTGTGGTGACGGATTAAGAATACAGAGTGTCACCACCCCTATTCATCCGGTGGGTGTCGTAAGAGGCGACTAAGGGAGAAAACTACGCAGACAAACAACAGCACTGCAGAGAGAAGGCAAACTTGACATAAACCCTATGCCAACCCGTCTGGCCAGCGTGGTATAGTAGGCCAAAACCTCCTTTCTATGTCCAGCAGTGGATTATTAAAGGCTGTTGATGTGATGATGTGATGATGTGCAATGCCTGATTGATAATGTTATGGTGTAATTACCATTTTACCATATTATCTGAGCAGTATTAATATCAAATGTGACAAAAATAACAAAACCTAAAAAAACAAACTTACCTCGTATAGTGACGCCAATGACTCAAGGGTGCGCGCGCGCCTTGAGCTGTAGCGGATGGAGCTCTGCCTGTCAAACTACACAACACATGCACAAAAATGACCTTCATATAACTTAATTACAATTTAAAAAAAAATACGATTCGGCATTCAGATTCACCATGTAATTATTGCACAAATACTTTATTATTCATTCTTTTAAAAAACAAGAAAAGTAGTAATACATGCTTTAATGAACAGAAATAAAATGTTCTAAATTATTTATTGCAAGCTTGGATATGGATCTTAAGGGAACAATAGCAAAATGTTACACTCATTCTATGGACGACACTACATCACTTTATTTTAACATGCTGAATACCAATCTAACTTATTGCTAATTACATAGCTAACTAACAAAAGTAAGCTCTCGTTAGGTAACGTTAGCACATTCAGATCATCGCAATATCGAAATATGAACCTATCTTTTCTCTTTCCTGATTGGCTAAAAAATTAAACCTGTCTCTACGAAAGGTAATAGGTTTCTTACCGTTAAATTGCGATTGGAAGCGTGAGTGAGGTTCCTGAGTTGTTCGATGCCAGGGGCTGCTAGCATCACGACGAAAGGTAAAAATTCCCCGCTGTTGTGCAGCAACTTAAGTGATTGAGGAGCGCAATCCAAGATGCACATTTTACCTGAAAAGAGAAAAAAGTTATTTTAAACTTACATATATTGTCCGTGTGGTGTTGGATTAAGAATACGGAGTGTCACCCCCCTATTCATCCCGTGGGTGCCGTAAGAGCCGGCTAAGGGAGCATACTCAGCAGGAGAACATCACTGCAAAGACAAGGAAAATTTGAAACAAACCCTATACCAACTCGTCTGGCCAGCGTGATTTAGTAGGCCAAAACCTCGTTTCTAAGGAGAGGCACATGTCCAGCAATGGACTCTTAAGGCTGTTGTTGATGATGATGATATTGGTAGAAATAATAACGCAATCTAGTTTATATTCGCGATGATTTACGTTAGCCTCTAAATATTTATAGTTTTGTTGTATTAGATTTCCCTGCAATGGCGTGTGCAGATGAAATGAAATATATAATAAAGTATTATTGTCATTTTTTTTCCATCATTAAAATAATTTCAGTAATGGGGCCTTAGACTCATAGGGCTTGACGAAGCCAATCAGTCAACGAGTGTAGTCATTTAGTAGTGGGAGTCTCCACTATGCTATAAGATATTTATCAATATTATAGAACCTTTGCATTCCTTTATTGGTGAATTTTTCGATTACGTAATCTACCTTTATTTTACTAACAATAGGAGCTACATATTCCCAATACTTTGGCTCAGCTCCGCTGGAGTTCTTCGTTTTAAACCCTAGCACAGCTTTCGTCGTATCTCTGTAAGAATTTGGGCAATTTCTTCGAATTTCTGCCTGTGTCATAGAATTAATGTTCATAATTCAGTCCCTCCTTAAAATTTTCAGTCTTCAAGCAGCGGGCTCAGACGAGATTAGAAAATTATGGTGAACTTTTTAAATGCTTTTAATGTTTTTGGGAGAGGGAGACAAGTTGAATAACCCATGCCAGCCAAATATATAACTACTGTGAATGTCTAGCAACGTCCGGTTTATATTTGCGTAAATATGTATGACGGAGCACGGATAAATCGATAATTATTGTTTTGATTATTATAAATCACTTGTTTATAAGTTATTGTTATTCAGGTAATGGAAAATATTTTGCTTTATTATTTATTTATACCGTACTGTCGGCATGTAAAAGAACGTGACAACCAGAGTACGCGGCCCAGCTGGCGAAATTGAGGATTTCGAAGTCAGCTTTGGTGTACATCAGGGTTCACCGCTGAGTCCTCTGCTCTTTATACTAGTAATGAACCACCTAACCGCAAAGATACAATGGCCGCCCCCCTGGGACCTTCTCTAAGCTGACGACATAGTGCTCATCAGGAGAACTAAGTACAGCAAATACTGGAGCGATGGAGAGTCGCGCTAGGCGAAGCTGGACTGATCAGCAAACAAAAAATCGAATACGACACTGTAATTTCAGCGGCAATAGCAATGATAAGATCATCAATCTAGAATACTTAGGCTCAGTCATATGTGTAATAAATACTAAAAGTGAGTCAACTCCTTTTAGACCAGGGTCGATAATTTTACAAATGGTAAAAAGTGAAAAAAAAAAATATAGTAGGATGAAACCCGTTAAAAAAGGACGAGAATATAACAAAAATGAAAGGAAAAATAATTTATTTAATAATTTAATTTATTTCTTAGCATTTTCTGCGTACATTTCTGAGTACCATGGTAATGTATTTTTTTTTTTTCATTATCAGAAAGAAGAGATTTCAAAGAACAAAAAACGCCCCGACTTTTTTAAAAAGCTGATATTTTGATCCGAGAATTTTCGATTGAAAATTAGGGTGTTTTTTCGATATTAAGTCAAAATAAGGTGAAAAAATAAATTTTTCAAATCAAAAAAATTACATTGTATTTAGGACATAAAAAGGTAAGTTTTCACTAAATCTCGTGAAAAAAAAATATATATTTGCCTAAGATAAAAATAAAAAGCCAAAAGCTTATTTGAATTTTTCACATAAATTTTGAGGTTACGTGAAAAAAGTGTAATTACAAAAGTTGTAGGTCTCTTTAATACCTACAACTATACCTATAACTAACTGATGACACTCCTGAACGGGCGTACCGGGCAGCAGGCGAAGCCAGCCGGAACTACCGTAGACGTCGCGGGGGACGGAGGGGGACACCGCTCTCCTTTATACGGTATGAATCATACCTCGCCCCAGCGTTGCTCCTTTAAGTATTTGAGTTGACACACCATTGGTATTTATTACACTATGGCTCAGTTATTTTCACAGGCGCAGCTATCGATACAGACAACCCAGCGAATTATCACACGATGGATAAAATGGAAAGAGGACAGGAACTTTGTGCGACAAGAGAATGTCTGTACACATTAAAGGCAAAGTCTATAAAATCGCCATACGACCCTCCCTAACGTACAGTGTCGAGTGATGTAGCGCAGATAGACCGCATCCAAGAAAAGTTAATGGAAGGTCGACTTAGACGGTCTGGGCACGTAATGCGTAACCCATCCGAACACATGACCCAAGTGCTCGAAATGTTTCCGGCGCCAAAAAAGCGAGGAAGACCCCGCACCCACAACACATCACTATAGACAGAGATATAAATGATGGAAACGTTACATCTGAGACGACCCGCCCTGAGCGCCCTGGCGAAGAATGACTAGGAGAGCGGACCCCGAGTGATGGGATAAGGCTAGGCGAAGAGAGAGTTATTTATTCTGTAATCACTTAAGAGTAATAAGACTAAAGTTAAAGCGGGTCACAGGTCACCCGGATTGAGTAGTAGGTTAGGTGTCACCGAAGAGTATTTAAAAACATTATCTTACGCATGCTAATTTGTTGCTTCTTTTTTTTTTGTTAAATATTGTAAAATTGACTTTGAAAACATTCTACAGAGCTCACATGAGCTATGACGGAGAAGGACAGCCATGACCCTTTTAAAAGCCTTTGATCTGATACAGACAGACTAGACACTATATAAATCTGTTGTACGTTTGAAGACATGTTTAAAAAGACATCGCCCGTACTAAGTATATATCCTGTGTCGCGGGGGACTTTACAAACATCCATGAACAACTAGACTCAGAATAACAATTTGTGTATCACGAAGTGTTGTCGCATGTGGGGATCGAATCCACAACACTCAGCGCAGTAGGAAGTGCCTAGGTAACCGCTTAAGCGACTACGCCATCCTAATAGATTAATAGAAAAACTAGAACTAGTTTAGTTTTATGGGAATGAAAATAGGATTTAAAGTTTAAAATAACAAGAAAAGAGGAATTACCTTCTTTCATAACCGCTCGTATGGAATCAAGATGAGTTCCGTAGAGATGTCCATTATGCTCCCCATATTCCAAGAACCGTCCAGCATGGGCATCGCGCTCCATTTCCTCCCGAGAAACAAACCAGTATGACTGTCCGTTTTCTTCCATAGGCCGTGGAGGACGAGATGTGTCTATAATGAAGTAATTATTTACAATATGTACTGCGAAACTTCAAGGTAAGTTTATAGTATTGAACGTTTTCGAACACCACCTTTCAGCAAATAAACTACCTGTTAGATTTTAGAACCAATAGAACCTAAATTGAAATATGCAAGTTCTGAAAAACTTAAATATTTATTATTAACTTACGAGGAACAACAGCACCAAATCTGTCCGGGTGTTCCTGTATCATGCGGTTCTTTATGGTCCGCCTGCCGACCCCCCGGGTGCCCACCATTGCTAAGACTCGACGAAGAAATGGTGGAGTACGGGCCACCTCCTCATACAGCGCCAACTCCGCACCCTCTAACTGCACGCTTGAGCGGGACTCATAGACAAACTTTTTTTTCTTTCTCGATATCTAAACACACAATAATATGTTTAACTCTACCTTGTTTTTGTAACTTTTATTGTACTCTGTTATACAATTGTGGTGCAAGTGTTTACTAAAATACAATGCCAATTTATTGTTATAACTGTCTAGATCTACAAAGTTTCAGTAAATATTAATGTCTGAGGTTTCCTACCATCTTACTTTATAATAATTAATTATTAGTAGTATTATTACCCCGGGAGAGTCATGCTTCTGCACGGCCGTAGTGATACCACGGGCTCACAGAAAACCTTGCTTTATACCGAATGGGTAACGTTACCATAGCCCAACCAGGAATTCATGAGCGGCAGTAGTCACCTACCATCAGGTACCGTGACTGGTCGATTGCAGTATAGACTGCAATGCACAAAAGAGCAATACCACTTTCAAAAGGGATCCTGTACAATAACGAGTCAAAACTCAAAGCAATAGAATGAAGTGTGAATTAGAATGAATTAAGACACAGTCCCGAGTGTATATAACAACTTTAAGTAGCGGTAACATTATTAGCCTGACTGACGAGTGGTTTTTAGTTTTTCTGTGGAAAACTGGGTTAAAGTCAACTAATTTAGTCTGTAGAGATTTTGTTTGAATTGCTTGAGATACATTTCTAGAAAAACAATCGAACTTTCACTTATATTTTTTGACACAAAAGTCAACAGAAACCGTTAAAATTTCTTAAAGATATTCGCATTACTCATGAGAATGTTTACAAATAGACAACACAGTCAAGAATGTCTATAAATACATGACAATGCGAGCAGAAACATTAACATATGGAATAATATATCCCGAATAAGAATACGTTTGTTACTGATTTGCTGTGATGTGTCTAATGACTAAGAAAAACTTTAGTAATTTGATTCTTATACAGGTCTTGCCTTTGTGAGTCACGATTACAATAAGATTATGTAAAAATATCTGAACAGAGACTGTTTTGTTATTCGACACGTCTGGGCATCATCATAATAGTGAGTATTCAGTCGTCAGCAGTTTCGTTGGAATTCGTGAGAATCGGTTGATTCATAATGCATTGATGCATATAAAAACAAAGGACTTTCACAACTATAATTGATGCTGACTGATTGTATTTTTATATAATTATAACTAGCTTCGTTGGCGTGAAATTTGAAAAGTGCTGCCTTAGTGGTTCGATTTCCGGACCGGGCAAAATTTGATAGGGTTTTTTCTGAGAGAAAAAGTAGCCTAAGTTAGCTTTATATAGACAGCTACCTGCTAGAAAAAATTATCAAAATCGGGATGGCCGTTTGAAACCTTACCCGGAACAAACAGACAGACAGACAGACAAAAAATATTTAAACTGGTTTTTAGGCACAGGTATAGTGCAATGTGTGCATGAAAAAAACCTATTATTTTGACATTACAAACAGACACTTCAATTTTATTTGTTTGTATACATTTAACGTAAATTCGTCTATAAATGCACAGGATGACATAATACTACTAGATTTTGCCCGCGACTATGTTCTCGCAGAAGTTGAAAATATTTGTAAAGTACATTTTAGGAGCTGTTTAAGGTACATCACGCTATTATAAGCAAGAGTGAAACTTAAGAATGGTAACTAAAAGTACTCGGTCTTATAATCTAATTATGTAGGTAAGATTATGTTTATCTTTGCAAATAATGCATTATGTTATCATACAAATATTTGGTCCGACCCGGGAATCGAACTCGAGACCTCTGCACAGCAGTCACAAACGCAATCACTGCACCACCGAGGCACCTTTTATTGATAGAAGTAGTTTAGTAAAACTCTACTTACAGCTCTTATACAAAAAGATTAAATCATAACTAGTTTTTGGCCCAAGCTTAATATTGCTCCTAATTACTAGCTTAATGATATGCCTTTAAAAAAATAAATATATATATATTTATATTTATAAGTAAATAATATATACAGAGGTGTCTGTAAAAGTAACAGTGTTATGGTTTGTTCCCATCTCAAAACAGGAATACATACTTTTGTTTGTTGTTCAAAAGTGCTCAATGCTCCTAAAGAAGTTTTTCCTTCAAATCTTAAGGTCTATGTGGTTATGCCAATTCAGGAGTATTAAAAATGTCAAGAAAAATGATTATTATGAAATATATAGGGGCAAAGAACAGACAGGTTACCTGATGGAAAGTGACTACTGGACTATTAGTGGAGTTGGGTAACCTCACTCGGTTAAAAGGAATTGCTTAAGAATGTGGTGATGGATTAAGAATACGGAGTGTCACCACTCCTATTCATCCAGTGGATGTCGTGAGCCGACTAATTTATCAAACTTTGCAGAACAATAACACTGCAAAGAGAAGGAAAACTTAACATAAACCCCATACCAACCTGTCCGGCCAGCCTGTTATAGTAGGTCAAAACCTCCTTTCTAAGGCCTGTGTCCCCATTGGAGTATTAAAGGCTGTCAATGTGATTTTTGAAAGCTGTGATATAATTCTGGGAGAACCGGCCGATTTGTGGTGAAGTATAGCTCTCCCAGTTACTCCTATTTTGAATATTTACTATTAAAAAATAATTAAGTGTTAAAACAAAACTGAATTTAATCTGCTTTGTGTAATCTGCTACTATTAGAAATTTTTATGATTGTGCTAAAATATAATTAATTATTATGCTTACCCTTGCACCACAAATACTGATTTTATGAACAAAGTCAGCTTCTGGAGGCACATATGCCTTGCGCCTTTCTTCTAATTCTGGTGATGGTATTAATCCCACAACTTCAGGGTTCTCAACATGACTTGCTTGCCACCAGTTGGGGTCTTTACGGTCTGACACCTAACATTTACTAATATTAATATACAGAAATAGTATTATCAACTTTTCATACACTTTTTCATCTGTTGTAACAACTTACTTGTAAAATGTCTCCTTTCTTGAATTCTAAACCAATTTCCTTGCATGGTAGTAATGTGTCTTCCTTAGGGTTGTAGTCAAAAAGTGCTCTCATATAACACTGTAAGTAATTAGATAAATATATACAACTTCTTGCTAATAGACAACTAATATTTTATATATGGCTGTGATTCTTAAAAACAGTGACAATCTTTATTTAAAATGTTAATTGCTTGTTTTTAATGACTTCAGAAAAGGAGGACATTCTCAATTTGGTTGTATTACCTTTCTCTGCCTTCCTAAGAAATCTTTTCATTAATGAACTGATTTTGACAATTCTTTTTCATTTGGCATGGTATATATACTTTCTGTTTGGTCCCATTCAAATTTGAAGAAAGAATACCACCACTAAAGGTGGAAATTTAAGGCAAGATAACAATTCTTCATGAAGAAAGCTGCATTAAGTCAGTGACTAATGTGACTTAATGCCACATTTAACAAAAATAAAGATTATCTATTCAAGTGCCCTAAGTTTACTTTTTAAAATATGTAATAAAAGCTACTTACACTAAGCTTATTAGTTAGATGTGCAGTCTTTTCCTTCAAGTTAGGTCCAACTTTAAGTGTAATTCTATCATTAGGCTTGGCCACAGCCTCCTTGAGCTGATCTTCCGAGTCTATGTGTACTCCGTCTACTTCTAATAATACATCACCTACAGAAACTAAAGCTTGTTTAGCAGCTGCACTACCTGCTAGTATCCTAGCTACTATCAGCTGTCCATGTTCATCAGTTGTCACCTGTTTGGAAAGAAATTCTACTTAAATATTCCCATTGTAACAAATCTACTTTACTTTAAATAAACATTTGTTTAAAAAAATATATATATATTTGAAAATTATATTTTTGTGTTATATAATTTTAATGAACAACTTTATATAAGTGTGGCATTAATTAATTAAAATACATTAATATTTACAAAGAAATGCAAATACTGGCCAAGGTTAATAGCATGATTAAAAGATATTAAATGCTCTGTTACTTTTTCAAAAACATTACAAATCTACATATTGATGCTTGAAATGCAAACCTTATTATATTTTGGTTTCACTTTAACAAAACTATTTGAACTTACTGTTAATCCTAAAGGTTGACCAGGGACTTTCCTCAGCCCTACAACTTTAACAGTCTCAACAGGCATGTCTCCGTTTTCTTCCGTACCACCTTCAGCTCCTATGTCTTTATCTGCTTCTGTCACTAATGTCTTTTCATCAATACCAGACCCTCTGTCCAGCCAAATTGCGCCTATTTGATCGTGAGCATCTATTAAAGCCTAAAAGAAATATCACACAGATATAGCTATCTTATTCCACAGCATCATTGTTATGAATGAATGAAACAAACACCGTAATGCATAATTAAAATGGATTATGTTTATATAGAAACTGCACTTCAATTTACGAATTTCAATGTCATAACTCAAACGTAAACATAACAACAGATTCTATTTTGCGTTTCTGATGAAGAACTCATTATACTGATCTGTAATATAAACAAACTAATATAAATATTTGCATTGCTCTGTAAACAATTTGCTGACGGCGGGCTAATATTGGAAAGGGCGACCTACCTTAAAGTGTGCCCTGGACACGATAATAGCGAGTTCGGCTTGTTCAATAGTCCGTATATTGTTGCCACGATACTCGCTTAGAGAACGAATTATGTTAACGTTACCCAGCGAGACTGGTTTTACTATCAAGTCCTCCTCCGAATCGATGGACTGTAATAATAACAAAACTCACCAATAATTAAAGTTTATCCATGAACAGCTTCTAGGATTCCAAAATACAAGCGTCTATAGGCGTGGCACTCGTCGTTAAAATGTTCAATGAAAACTACGATACTAGCGTGTGCACATAACGGCTCATTAAATAAAACGAAATAATCATTGCTTTACTAATTTATAACAAAACAAAGGGGCAAGGGCTACATCTATAACTGAATCTGTTTTTGTTGTAACAAACGTACACACCCACAACCCACCAACTGTATAGGTACTAGTGTCATAGAGTGGGGCAAGGTTTGCTTTGCACGATTTCTTAAATTCTTGTTTTCTCAAAACTCTTTTGACAGATTTAGAATCAGATATTGTACAGGCAACTTACATCTTATCCAGGCTAAATAAAGTCGAAATTTACATGGCACGTTTTGCAACTGGAAAAACTGATTCAACTTGTGACCCGCAACACAAACTTATATAAATTCTTTGTTTCGTAAGTGCATTATAAAATTAGTTATTTTCACGCATGTATCAAATGTAGCAATTACTATATTAAACAAAATACTACGTTAAACATTTGTAAAATTAATTCTGTTTTTCCGTTTTAACAACTTACTGCAATCTTTTTTGACTCTGGCAAGTTCATAAAAGACATCGTTAATGGCGGGAACTGATAGTAGTGTTTAAAAGCTAAAGCTTTATGATTAAATTACCTCGTATTTTCTAGCGAAGTCTGGACTTTCTACAATGCTTCTTAAAAATATAACTTCATGATTGGATAAATCTTCTACCGGTTTCTGCTCCTCCTTCTCTGAATCGAAACACGTAAGGACTTTTTCAATTAGAATACAGTTTAAAATGTAAAAATTATCAAAGTTGTTATTAAACAATTATATAGATACAATTACATTTATCACAAGTATGCTAAGTGAGCTTCATTTCTTTTACGTGTTTCCCTTCGGGCCGTCACCCCACCGGGGTTTGCAATCGGGGTTTGTGTGTCGGAATCGGACCGACTAAAACCACACGGTGTGCCACTCTGCGCCTGTTATAAGAGAGATCTGGGAACCGCTATTATTAAGACATACGGACCATGCTAAGGTTGCCTCGCCCTAGCCCCTGAACAGGTTATAGCGCAATTGCATTGAACCCTTTATACACACCACATAAATTGCATTAAAATAAATAGGTAGGTTCTGAAAGGGCAGGGCCTGCACTCGGTCGCTAGGAGGGAATTATGTCCCGCGTCTGTCACCGTTGTGATTGCAGTAAGGATTCGGCTCAGCACACGCTGGCAATTTGCCCGGCTTGGTCGCAGCGTCGGTTCGTCGCTCATACGCTCCATGGCCCGTAGTGACAGATATTTTACCGCGGTCGCGTCCTTCTGGAAGACGTCTTCTCGCAGATGAAGGCGGTAGAGAGAGCGCAAGACGATTATCTATGATCGAATCCAACACAACAAAGTGACCTATAAGGGTTCCGTTTTTTCCTTTTGAGGTACGGAACCCTAAAAAAAGAAAAAGGTAAGATTACAAATGAGTAGGTAGAGTATTACTAGCATGTAATCGAATAATTAAGTGGCTTTTCTTTACATTCAAAAAGTACAGATTACCTTTAAAAGCCTTGTTTTGTTGTCTATAAAATAAAATTTTAAATTCGAAACCCATAAAACCCTTTGCAATGTTACACATTGCTCCGACCCAAAATGGTCCGCTTCTAAAATATTTGTCCGTTCTTTTTGTTGCTGTACCTTTCATAATAAGTATTCGTAATTTAAAACTGAAATGAACAAGATTGTTTATTGATTAAACATTTTAATTAGTTCATAGTAGCCGTGTTTGCTTGTTTTATGGGAAATGCGTATATTACTTATATTAAAACTATTAAATAAAACAATGCTTTACAACGCCGTTAAATTTAGACTATTTTGTCTAAATTTAACGGCGTTGTAAAGCATGGGTATCCAGCATTTATTTAGGGGTGGAGCAAAATTGAGATAACTAGATAATTGATTGGAATTTAATATACTATTTACTTCTAATCATTTTTCAATAATAACCTGCTGCATCTAGGCAAAACCTGTTTGAAATTTCGATTATAAATTTATTTGGGGCTTCCAAAACCCTCTTCCTATGCACACTATTTTTTTTAATCATGCATAGGTCTTTTTTCTGTCATTATCGATCGTAGCCAAGTTTTTACTATGCGTAAAGTAATACAATACCTTTAGCAAATTGTTTTTTTTTGTCTGATTTTCTGAACCATGTAATTATATTGGTGTTCAAGTATCAAATCGAAAACTAATGTTTAAATAAATTAAGATCGTTCTCGAGATCTGGGCAATCCCAAAACGTTAGCACAGCAAAGCTTAAATAATTTAAGAACCACAACCACAACACACAAACGTTAAAAACGTTTAATACCATACAAAATATATTTATGTATTTAGTTCCGGGCTGAAACGATTTTATGAAAAAAAATATTCTTTTTAACGTTACTGCAGCACAATCTGTTTGCCCAAATAATTTTAAAACTACAATTCAAACAAATTTTGCTACTGGTAAACAAATTACTCTTCATGATACACTAATTTATCTGTTATACTTTCGCCTCTCTAAAGCACAAGTTTAATAAACTTTTTGTAGGATTCGTCTTCGTTCAACTTCATCAAGTGCTTGGTGAGATGATACCTGAGATGGATTCTACACGCCAAAGTTTATATAAAGCTAGTATCAAAGAATCTTCTAGAATGACTGCATGCATTTAGTATTGCTAGGAAGACTGCATATTCTAAAACTCTTTCTAGAAAATAGTAGTAATTGGAACAACTACACTCTTATATCATATGCCCTAAATAATTTCCTACTTATGTACATAACGAAATAGAGTCACAGAAATACACGCCTAAAGTATAAGGTAAGAAATATAAAGAAAGTCGGACTTCATTTTTTTCCTATACTTTCGAGAGAAATAAATGCTTAAATGCAATAGATAAATTTTTGGTAATATTTCAGTGAAATCATTCACTAACATTATATGTACGTTTATCTATTTTTATTTAGTCACTCTTTAGATTACTCAGACGACGGCGACAAGAGACATACAACCATAATTAAAAATTATCGATTTTTATAAATTACATCATGTATAAAATGAGTAAAATGCCGCATTTTTAGACACCGCGTTGGAAAAGGAGAGTCCCAAACTAGAGTGTCTACGCGCACCCCACGGCCGGGTCTGTCCGGGAGAGGTTGCAATGTGCGGGGTGCGACTAGTGACAGCGCGAATGAGAAATATCGCCGTCGGCACTCGGCTACTAACCAGCTGCGATTGCGCATACAGTTTTGCCTATTGGTCGAGACATTAAATTACATGTTGATTATTTTATAACGACGTTTTACTTCACCGTAGCGACAGCTAGGATATGATCTAATAGAGAGCAACAGAAACTATAAAAGCGTGGTTGGTTGTGGTTAGGTACCACACAAAAACAGCTAATATTAGAACTTAAAGTCTACCTAGCAGCTTTTTATTCATCGCACCGCAACCCTATTAAATACTAATAGCCCCAATAGAGGAAGCAGACCCAAGCCAGAATAGCCCATATTTCATACACATACAACATTTGCACGTAGATTTATCTGTATCTTACATATAACCAGCTGAACACTTAACCATATGTGTATATTACACACTAGCTGTCTCGCGCAACTTCGTCTGCGTCTTTTAAAAGGGATAAATTTTCCCCGTTTTTGCAACATTCTTCATTGATGCTCCGCTTCTATTGGTCTTAACGTGATGATATATAGCCTATATAGCCTTCCTCGATAAATGGGCTATCTAACATTGAAAAATTTTTCAAATCGGACCAGTAGTTCCTGAGATTAGCGCGTTCAAATAAACAAACTCTTCAGCTTTATAATATTAGTATAGATAGTTATGACTAAACTTAACATAAATACTTTAAACACACGCCATTGCAAAGGTGGAACCAAAGAGTACCTCCTAACTCTTAATAAATAAATTATGATGAAACAGAAGATCTTACATTACCAGCCATTTGATTTTTAAACCCATGTCCTAATGACTAATGACATGGGTACATACAGACATCTGATCTACACTTATTTCAATCAATACTAAATCACTGACAGTCAAATATTAAACAATCTACATTTTTTATGTTCTAACGATATTATAGGGGCCTAATATCACACACTTGCATTACCTACCACACATCCACCCTCACTAACTTATCCACATTTAACATTCTACATTATATTTATCCACATTTAAAATGTGCCATATCGACCGAACTGTAGAGCATCAAATCAATTCGGGATGGATGAAGTGGCAGCAGATAACGGTAACAATTTGTGACCCCAGTTTCCCCTTAAAACTGAAAGGACGAATGTATAAAACTATCATCAGACCATCAGAACGGATGAAAGACGCCTGTGAAAAGTAGCCGAATGTGTGGTGCCGATGTGTGGTGGGGCTCGGATGGACAAGGTCAGGAATGAGTATACACAACGGAGTCGGAAAGTAGCTGGATGAAAGTTAAGAAGTAATAGGTCATCTTGGTATGGACATATCATGTGGAGGGATGAGGAGAATGTGGCGAAGAAAGTGTTAGGAATGGGAGTTAAAGGGTACAAGAGAAGAGCAAGACCAAAGAACAGGGGGGATGGACTGTGTGAGTGAGAATATGGCTAGGAAAGGAGTAAACAGTGAAATATCGAATGATAGAGGAGAATGGAAGAATGATACATACTGCGCGGACCCCGTAAAAAATTGGGATAAGGGTAGGCAGATAATATATAGGTTCCTAGCATGGGTTATCGATCAATCATTTCGTGTGTATTCTGTTGTTTTAGGACATTTATAATGTGATATACTATGTTCAATGTACATTTTTAAAGGTAAATAAATTTCATTACATTTCAAATGTACACGCGTAAATAGGTAGGTATAGTGAAAATATATGTTATATAGGTGTAATGTATTTTTTGTATAACATAAGGTACCCTTTTAGTATATATTCGTTGGATGGGTTAATAAAATAATATTTATTAGGTTTTATCTAATTCTAATTATTCTATATCATGACTCCTAAACGTTTGCAATTCTTATGGTTATGATTATACTTAGTGTTTTAAGTTCCTAGGCCAGATTGTTATCCTGGCCAGGTTAGACATAAGAGAGATGAAAATGATGTTTACAGTGGCCAATATTCTTGTGCTATTCGTAATAGAGTATTAATAATGCAAGTAAACCACATTACTTGCCATTACAGATTCATATAGGACTGGCAGACGGGGTTTTCGGTTATAATATAAAATAAAACAATATAGCTTCTTAGATGTTCTAAAGTAAAACTACAAATCTACTCGCATACTTTGTATGTTGCCTTTATTAGTTGACTTAACTATATATTTGTGCCTCGTATTTTTACCCACGCTAATGTTTGCACTTCGCCACGTATGCACTACTAGTCGTCCAGAAACGTTAACGTGACGATTCCGTGGCGTGATGTTAACGCTGTGGTTTAAGTACGTATTACTTCTTAAATGGAAATAAAGAATTTAAAAACTTTAATGTTCATAAGTGACTTTTTAAATAAGATTTTGTCTGTTTGAATAAATAATCACTTCCTTGATTTATTGTTTATATGACGGGCCTGTTGGTCTAGCGGTTCAGACTGCTAAGCCAGAAGTCATGGGTTCGATTCTCACCCAGGACAAATATTGTTCCTTAAGCAAGATCATTTGTTCTGTGACTAAGTGTAGTGTCTCTATACGCTGTATGTATTTAGAAATATATATGTCCGGCTCACGGTGAAGTTTTGCCTTTGTTACGCAAGTGGAACAAAATAAACGTCATAGTTGGGCAATATAAGGGCTCGATATTAAACATCAGGTCATAAACTGCACCGGCTTTAGAAGTATTGGATCTTAAATTTTAACCTCTTTGGGTCCTTAATTCGCTTTAGCTTATATTATCCCTTTCTACTTAACATGATAGTAGGTGCTTAGGGCTATGCCAAGATACACAAATATAAAAAAAAAGAAGAGAAGAGAAAAGATTATGGGAGGTATGGAATAACAGACTTTTACTCGCGACAACGAGCGATCGATGCAGACACAGAAAACCGTGCTAAATTAGCACTGCTGAGGGAGGTTGTTTTTGTGCTAGTGCCACCTGAGGATTGTTCCAAGTGCCTACAAGTACCAGTGACCGTGTCGCACCAGGTGATATAAGATTTGTTTGGTAACTTAGTGAATTAAAAGAAGTTCGTGAATATTGATCAAACTACATTTGTGATCGAGCGATACATGTGTTCGTTTACTTTTGTATGCTGAATCGACCATATTGTAACTGAAAAATAACTTGGAATAGAAATATTTTAACACTGGTCACTACTACACATATACGATTTAAGCCTTGTAAAATATTTTATTTGTGTCCAGGCTCTGGGTTAATACTTAGTACTTTAGGAATGTTACTTTTATATTTACTTAAAAGTTAATTTGATATTATTGAAACATTACTGTTCAGCATAAATATTGTTTTAAAGTCCTATTATAATACTTTTGAGGTTATGTTACGAATTCATATTTTCCTCGGATCAATTGAGTGTCGCTCGGCAAGTACGCTCACCTTCGTCGGGAGGTTTATTTCCGAATGCGAAGTCCTTAAACCCTCTCCAGTTGACGGTGTATCGTCCACTACGTCGCACCATCATCGTTAATGAACGGTAAACACGGCAATAAGCGTGCACTAAACGGACAACGCGTTCCTCACTACCGAATGAACAGTGGCGGATAATGCCACTGCCCGGCACCGGCGGATTTTCGCAATAGACGTGCGCGGCACCGATGCGTGGTTGCGACGCGTCACTCAGCTGCCGCGGCGTCAGCTGAGCACGTCACATAACGACTGCAGCGCCCGCCCGCCCGCTCCTGCCGCGCTTGCGCAAAGCCGCCCGCCTTTCACTGTACTCGACGTTTATAACAACTGCTTTGTTGTTCCAATACGGTATATATATACCGTTTTAGGTAGTATGTAGTCTAGGATTGTCTGTAATACTGATTGCATTATACTTTAGCTTAAACGCAGTAGTAGGTACGTGCTAATCAACTAACTGATCCATTAATTTCTTAAGTGTGCGCCTCTATCAAAAGTATAATTTCAACTTTACTTGATGGAGATTATTTTTGAGTGGCAGACAAAGTTTACTACCGCACGCGATGTCTACCGATAATAGATCTCACTACATTATAATTTTAGACTTGTATGGCGGGACTAAAATAAAGATCACGGAAGTTCGTTCATACTTTATTAAAGTCCAGGAAAACTGTTCATGTTCTGTCTTTTCTCTTAAAATACTCTTTACTTGTCGAGAAAGTTTCTTGTGGTTTATACCTACAATTTACCGATGAATAAGATGTCTTATTCAGAGCTATGAAAATGTAGACATAAAGCAAGGCACATAAAAATATTACGATCGTACTATAAAATTGCGTACCACTCACATTCTGCTACTTCTCATACATACATTTAAAAGTTAATACTTACCTTCTTATTTTTAGAATAGATACGTATAGATAAATGAGGCACTTACATCTTAGCGTTCATTGCCTGTCTACTCGTGTAAAATGTAGAAATGAAATACGGAGGTAGGCTGATTGTTACTATTTTATTAAACTTCCTCGATTAAAGTATGTTAATTCTACTTAATTTATAGAAATATAATCTGACAATCCCTGTAAATATCTTTATGATTACCGTTCATCAGATTTTTTGTAATTGACGTTTATTAAAATGTTAATACCGTTAACTTTACTATTTACTGTTACCGATAAAATAGACAGGTTATGTACATGTATTTATTTTATTAGAAACTTTGCATATGGAAATAACGCGATCTCATAAAAGGTACCTCTGTAATATCTATGATCGCGATCGAGTTAATGCCCGTATACATCCATACTAATCCCTACTAATATTGAAAATGCGAAAGTGTGTCTGTCTGTTATCTCTTTACGCTTAAACTGATGAACCGATTAAGATGAAATTTGGTATAGAGATCGTCAGAGTCCCGAGAAAGGACATATTTTATTCCAGACATCACCCCTTAAGGGGGTGAAAGTTTGTACGGGGAATCAATAAACTGATTCAGATGAAATTTGGTATAAAGATACTTTGATTCTTGATGTAAGGCATAGGCTACTTTTTGCTGCGATAACAGACATTTACGCGGTTGGAGCCGCGGGCAAAAGCTAGTATATAATAATCTATCATGAGACGCATTGTCCCTTTTGATGTTTTTCGTAGGTCTTTCATATACCCCCTGGGATAGGGCCTGATTAGGCATTGTGTCAATTCGGGGAGGACCTGAAATAACATGGTCCGGGTCCTCCCCAGAGTAGGACACCTGAGGCCGGCCGTCGGGATGGTTTTTAGTGGAATCACCACATACTCCTGGCTCATAGTCCCCGAGGAGCAGGAGATCCGAAGGGATTTTTCACCCCGCCAACAAAAAAAGAAGGTCTTTCATATACAGTTTGGCTGACATTTAATACCCAACAAATGCTTTACTAAGTCAAAAGAGATTATTTAGGGTACTCACGTGTACTGATAGCGTTATATAATGCAATTTATGATATTCTATTGACCTCTTTTTATTATAAACGAATAAATAAGTACGATGTGCGTCATCCAATCAGTATAAGTAGCGTCACCACTTATCTGTTATATTTTTTTGCAACTAAACGAGTAACGAGAAAAATAGGTCCAACATATTTAAAAATTATACTGAGAGATTAGAGTTTGCTCACGTTAAAGTAATCTTTCAACCACTGTTAGATCTATATCCTCTGCATTATTAGCAACGTACGCAAAATATCACCATGATAAACACTGTCTAAAAGTTAAACGTATACGTATACACAAAACCTTGTTCTGTCTAAGGTAGTACATTCAATCAACGGAAGAAATTAACTTTACTAATAAGTATAATACTGTGTTACTGCTAATGAGTAGGGTCAACTGAACTCTATGGGGTTACGCACTGTTGTTGTGAGTGATTGCTTTATTAAGGCGCACAGATAAGATGTCTAACAGTTATCTCCTACGTAGCTTAAATTATTTATAGTTACAAAAAGCTTCAATGTATGTTAGTGGCTGACCTCTGTATTTATTAAGTTGAGCCACTAGTATTCAAAACATCCTGTAAAATATTTAATTGTCCATGCTATTAACATTCTTGCAAAGTTCTTCGAATAGTGACTTGTTTTTAAAAGAATCCAGTTACTTTCGTTGACTAATATTTAGTTTATAACTTGTTCTCGGTGTAAATAATAAGAAGGAATGCAGGTCAGCCATAAGACAAAACTACGCGTCAGACTCCAATTTATAACATCGCAAAATAATAATTATATTTAAACAAAAAGGAAAGTAGCCAAGAGCTTGAAAAATGATTGTCAAAGTTAAAACAACTACAACACACGGTGTGTTTTCATACCTTCTGTTCAAGACCTACTCCGCATTTAGATTTTTCCAATGACTTACAATAAAAATATTCAATTTTGATTTGATTATATTGGTGCTAAAAAAAGCAAGATTAAATGCCTGTATTTGTAATACATATGTCAGTTGTATATTGTAGAAAACCTTGAGTTATGTACCTTTAGAATTTTAATATAAGTCCTGTGATATTTTTAGCTGAAGAACACTAGACTCAACTAAAAAGGGTCTACATTTTTATCTCTATTATGAATCCAGATGCGAGAGTAGAAATGAAAAGAGGAGTGGTTTGACCAAAAAATATATCTATTTGAAGTCAAGTGGATTTTATTCCATTGAATCACTAATCAGAATGTTTGTGTACTATCAATAAATAGATAAAGTTTATTTTTCATCTTCGAATATTGTTATGACTTCCTTGTTATCATACAAGTGGCGAGTTATAATTAATTATTGTTAACGAGTTATAAGTAATTTCGGTGATAAAATTAAGAGTTAATAAGGTAAACTGGTGATAGTTTAGGCATTTATAACACAGCTAGTGAGTAAATGAATGCCGTTCGGCCTTTGATGTCTTCCTTAAAAAAAATAAAAATGTAATGTTTGTCTTAAAACTCATCTAAATGCCTACCACTTATTATTTTTCTAAATTGCAATGAATCATCAGTCACACCGGTAGTTATTTACCAGTATAGGTATATGTGTATATAGTATTTATTCTATTTATTTCCATTTTTTTTTGTAGCACTAGAAAACAAGGATAAGGGTTTCATGTCCTTTATTACAACAAGCTATGTATATGAAATTTCATGTAACTATTGGGTCTAACTTCCGCTTTAAATCGTTGCAATAATTCCACGTGGAACTGGCTATAGGCAACTGGGAATAAACCCACTTTTCGGCATTAACCCGAGAAAAAGTCTTTCAAGACCCTTTAGGAAATGAGGGGTGGCGTATAGGGTATATTTTAAAATACCCTATACCTCATCCTTTAAAATTTGTACAAATATATGTACCTAAGTTTAAAAGTATTTTATGTCATTGGGTATGTAATATTTGCAAATTCTGGAACTTTGAAATAAAAAAAAAATCTGTAAATTCATGTACAATTCATGTTTATATTAGCGTAAATCCTTTAGATTTTTTGTTACCATGTTCTGACCCGGATGGCCGTGGCAGTTATTTTGCAAGTTGCTTACTACCAGTAGCAAATATCATAAATCACAGTTTATTTATTGCCATACGATAAGGAGTTCCATTATTCCTCTCTAAACCTGTCTGTATGTAACTTGGCAAGTGGTTATTCCATAAAGTGACAATCAATAAATATTTTCAATCATACTTATTTGACACCATTCAGAAAGGAGTTACATTACTATTTTCTAAAATTTCATCAGACATATGAAAACTCGCGAATTGAACTTTTTTATTTTGTTTAAAGTGAAATACCTAGTATTTTTTGTTCTAATTTCCATTTATCTCTTCATTTTATACTGCATATCGTGCATTAATAATAATTACATAACGTATAATGATCCTTTTCATCAAGGTTCACCCCTACTTTATTAATAATACTCGTATCAGAGAGGTAGCAGTGGTGGAGATAATGAAAGTCCTTCCTCTTGGACTTACAATTGTAAAGCATTATTTATATTGAGTCATTTCATATTTAGTTTGTTTCTGTAAACAATCTGAACCGATTATTATGTCAGGTGGATTGTACGCTTGTTTACAACGATAGTAGTAGGCAAGGCCTTTTATTTCACATTCGTGTGTAATAAACTGTTTATTTCATGTCTGTTATCTTTGTTTATTTACTCAATATAAACACTACTGAGAAGAAATATATAGTAGTAATATATAGGTACTAGTTACAAATATATTAATTAAAAGTTGCATCATTTGTCATGTTACTTTGCTGTTTTTTTTGCACACTTGAGCTCCGCTTGTTACTATGTAAACAAATCTTGGAAGTCAACTTTAACCTACTTCTCTTTCTCATATCTAAATGAAGCTTTGTACTGTTGGTTGTGTCGAACTACATATCAATGTCGATGACAAATACTAAAAACATTTTTTCGTATAGTTGATCTGATGATGAGCCAGGCGGTGGATAGTGGCATTTTTCCGAGGCTGCTAGTGAACCCCACGAGTTTGGCGTTCCTTTTGAGCAGTTCAATAGAAAAGGGTTAGAAAAAATGGTCCGATAATATTAGAGCTAATAGCTAGATGAACATATTAGATCTCTATATTACTTTTTTATTTGGTTTCATTTAAAACTATAAGTTATTCTTTTGACAACCAGTTTGCCAGTTTTGTCTAACTTACCCCAATTTTATTTGAATTTGTAATGACTAATTTGAATGATACACGATAAGGCTGATGTCCTTTGACATCATCGACTATTGATTAGGCAGAGTGTTCACCGCATCACTCTTATAAGATTCTTTTAACACGCCTTGATGAAATGTTATTGTCAGCTAGTAGAATGCGTAGTTCTATCAGGTAACTGTAATATTTCATAACGTACTGATGTAATACAGATTAAACCGAATGTCAAAAGGCACTTATAATCTGAGTAAAGATTTGAGCTGTATTTAAGATCTATTTAAGAAGTTACACTTGAAATTCAGTTAATAAGCTATGTCATAAATATAATTTAATTTCATATACCTAAAAGACCACCCAAAAGCTAAGCTCATGAATTAAAAGTTAATCAGCCATTAGAAATAAACTGATTTTCAGATTCATAATTTAGGTAGTTATATATTATATTGCTCGTATATATATGTATATAATATTATATGAAGACATTAGATAAACTACTAATTAATGAGTGTTACAATATCTCTGCGGCAATATGGGCGCGTGCTCGGTGATAACAGGGGTCACAGGGTACTCTTATATATGATGTCTGGATCGGTTGCAAAACAGTCTATGTTGGGTTATGCTCCGACGACCTTTTCTACATTCGCTCAAAATTAAGTGATTTAATTGTTTTTATTTTTAAAAAATGCCGTGGACTAGTATTAAAAGGTACATTAAAAGTAAACACTCACGTAGACTTTTTTGCTTAAGTCTGTTTGTTTTGACAATAATCGCATTGCCTTTCTTAAATCCCTAGTGTTTTAACAAATGTTATATTAATGTAATTTAAAACATAATTTTCAGGATTTACGCAACACCGTCGAACACTAGTTCTGAAGTGACAGTGTCCAATGCTTTGAAAGCTGGACCAGTGCTGACAGCTGCAGCGGATTCCGGCGGTCGATTCGAGCTGAGCCATCACGGCTACGGTAAATGCGCGATCAAGCTTCTCCATGTCCATCGCGACGCGGACTACCACTCTATCCGGGAATTTGAAGTGTTCACGGAACTGAAACTGCATTCGGAAAGTGCTTACATTATAGGAGATAATAAGGATGTGGTGGCAACCGATTCACAAAAGAATACCGTGTATTTACTAGCTAAAAAACACGGAATTAAGACTCCTGAAGAATTTGGTGCTGTAGTTGTGGGTCACTTCCTGTATATGTACAAACAAGTTGTGGAGGCTAAATGTAGAGTAGTCGAATATCCCTGGGAGAGGCTACAAGCGGGGGCGCCTCACAATCACGCTTTCTTATTTTCACCAACAGCTACGAGATGGTGTGAAGTGTCTCAGAGCCGTCATGGTAAGCTTTTAATCATTAGTTAGAAGTGATAAAACGGTTTTTGAAATATCGAAATCTCACGATTAGTTTTGTTTACGGTACGTTTTCTTGTACAGAGGCTGTTATAGTGAAATCAGGATTAAGTGGACTTCGTGTACTAAAGACAACGCAATCAGCGTTCGTGGACTTTGTTCAAGATGAATATACTACACTGAGTGATGCTGCTGAGAGAATATTTAGGTATTTACTTGAGCTCTACCTTTGTGTTGTACTGGTTTGGTTATATATTTTTGGAAAATGAGTTATTTTTATTTATAGTACTGTGGTAGAGGCCGAATGGACCTACGATGGCATGCGCACGACAGACTTTGACAATGCCTGGCTGACAGTGAAGGATGCTATTCTCGATAAATTTGCCGGCCCACCCGACATTGGAGTTTACTCGCCTTCGGTACAACACACCTTATATCAAGCTGAGAAGACAGTTTTGGAAAAAGTATCAGAGGTATGTCAAATTAGTAGAAGATTTCCTTGACATTCATCACTGCAGCGAAACAAATAATATTGTTTGCTAGAAATAAGACTATTACCACTATTATACACATGAGAGAATTTGAATGCAGGTGACAGTAATCGTATACAAAATAACCTCTCAAAAATTAGATAGCTATTTCATATGATGTTCACCTCTGCTATGCCATGATGGCTATTTTATATGAGTACATGTTATCATTTAAAATCATTTAATTCTGTGTTCTGATTCACCACACTTTATAAAATTCGTATTCATTATCATTATCAAACACTTTTTACAAGCACTTAATGTCAACAATTAATAGGCGCGTTTAGAAACTAATTTTATACAGTTTAAGTGCTATAAAAACTGACTATAACGTAGAGTAATTTGTGCATTTTTAACTTTTGAATAATACATTTGTTTTGAAAAGTGTTTGACCATTACCATAACAGAATATTAGACAAACTGTATTAAACAAATAACTTAGGTAAATACTCGTAGTACTCCAAAAAATATTTTTGTTGTTTTTTTTTTTGCTGCTTTTAAACACAATTGCAAAGTAAGATGTATTTAAGAGTGGTTCAGAAATAAACAAGAATCTATGTTTAGATCGGTCGGTCAACAGCCCGGAGTATTGCGGCAATACTCATTTCTTCTAGAAAGTTTATTTTTTCAACTTCATTTGAGATGTTTAGAATTTAATGAGATTACTATTGATCAATTTTATAAATGTTAAAAAGATAATAGACAGAGATGCGTTAGGAAAAGATTAATGTCTGTTTTAATATTGTTTGTATAGCTTGAACAGGAAAATAGAGGCACCACAATTGCGTTATTTATTGCATTACTAAGTATACGTTATTTATGATAGCACAGACAAGCAAACACATACCTCAATGCTTAGGTTAAACTATTGGATTTTATACTAAACAATAACTAAAATTCAAAAATAGATTAACGCTATTTTATAATCTTAGTTGATATTTAGAGAAATTAGTTACATACTTTTTCTGCAACATGGCCAGTATTTTCATTTTTATGAGCAGGTGAAGTAGTTATAGCAACGACTATTAAAAGCAACAATTTAAATACTATTTGATACATACATACTGTGTTAAATAATTTAGCCTTTTAAATGTTCCTATCTGAATGATGGATAGGAAAATGATACTTATCATCAATAATCATCATATTCAAGTGAATTTTGCTTATTAAGTTCTAATTAATCAAATTTTGATATTATACCTTGACTGTCGTAAAATGTACTTGTCATAACATGTTCTTAAATATTTGGATGCACGTACTTTATCGGTCCTGTAATTTAATTTATATTTCATTTACATCTCTAGCCATTGGCTTAAAATTATTTTACAAATTATTGTCGTAATTAATTCTTGGTATCGGCACAGTAATAATTATTCATGAAATATTAATGAGACAACAAAGAGGGTTTATCGGAAGTGAATCCGGTCATTCGTGTAGTTATACTGACTAGCTATCAGAGTGGACGTCACAGCCATTTTGTTTGTGAACGAGCGCCAGTCACGTGAAGCAGAGGTCAAAGGGTTATCGTTAAAAACCCGGAGGCTCCTGAGTATGTTTACCAGTGCTTTTTTGGTCCAAGATATAGTTTGACCTTGTTTAAAACTCAAGTGTTGCAGTATCAATATTTTAGAACTTTTTGCAGTTATTTTATAATTGAAAAACTTTATCTGGTTGTAGACTCTTGCGTTGTTTTCCTGTGCCCCAAAAATCCCCTTGGATACCACTGTGGCGGTTATATCAGACCTAAAATATTTCCCACCTAAAACATTTTCATTCAGTGATGAGGGAAATAGATAACTGGGGTTGTATTACAGAAAGACTACTGTTATCGCTTAATTTGCTTAACTTTTACATGAATAAACGATCTAAGTGATCTATGAATTAGGTATCTTAGACACTTAAAGTCCACAGACATTTAAAGAGTAGGTAAATTAAATCACCATTATTAACTATGATTTGAGTATTCACAAAGTTATTGTTAGTATTTTTACAATTTCTCTAAAGAGGTGAGTTACCTGATAATATTCTATTTGTTCTTGTTATAGATTACCTGGATCAAGATGACGATGCCAAACAAACACTACCTCAACATTGATATGTCAAAATTCCCGGCGAATGTAACAAAAGGCGATCCCCGCCATCAAATTTACCAGCCTATAGACAAGCCAGCTGGTCTCATCTACGCGCAACTACGTCGTAGACCCAAAAGTCACTTGTGACGAAAACGTTGCTACGCCTCGTAGAGCGGCGCCATTTTAGTTTTTCGTTATGCCTTTCATAAGTTGCCAACCAGGGAAAGTCATTCTCCCCTACTTATGGATTTCTTTATTGTCCACAACTTTATGAAAACAAAACCAGTTAACGTTGTAACACTAAAGTGTATATATAATTATAAGCAGTTATGTATCTAGTCAAGGTATTAATGTTACTGGCTGGACTGTGTAAGTTAACTTTGACTACAGTTTCAAAGTAGATTGTAATTACACATAAGTTTGTTTACCGTTAGTTTTATAAGTTTAATAAGGCTTAATAAAAAAAAATTGAAGTATTAAACCGAGTTTTATCTTAAAGTTATAGAAGAAATACAACAAATCTGATTTCTATAGACATTTATTACATACAAAATTGATGTTTTACTGTGTTGCCAGTTTATATCATTGTATAACTATTGACAATAGGTAAATTTTGTGGCCAGAACTCACCCAAGGTAAGGCAAGACATAAGACTATACTGCTATGTATCGGGCACATTACACGACTATGCATAAAGTACTTACACTTAAATTAAAAAAAAAGTCTACAGACGTTTCGTTCCAATGATCTTATCTGCGAGTGCGTAGAGCTCTTCGACAGTCTGCAATAGAAAAAAATAGTCAATAGAATATTCCTTTAAAGTAAAAAAAGGTGTAGGCGAATTATGGGACGAGTAACGCTCCTAAGCCGACGAATATTGGTTCTGCTTGATTTTTTTTCAGAAGTAGTTGCAAATTTTTGAACCACTTTCTGACTAGGAATTTTCATTCCATTCTTTTTTTTTTATCTTGAAATTACATCGACCCAGCAACATCCTAGGTATTAAATACCTACGGTTTTATTCACGTAAGCCGTCTCCATCCAATCTTAACGTTATTGGTAAATTTTCAAATGCAATTTATCATGTATGTTTTTAATTTATTAAGAGATAAATTCTGCATTAAATGCATTAAAAATCACGAACTCTTCTAAATATGTTAGCGCCTTATGTTCTGACCACATTTTTGGTAACATCTAAATATAAACAAGTACAAACTGAGGTTACTAAATTAAAACAAAACATTAAAAATAAAATTTTTACTTTGTTTTGTTTTACTTGGTACTATTTTACAATTTTTAATCACTCTTGCATGTTTCTCATTGCTATTAGTGTGCTTCCTTCCGTCATACGTAGTTACATGTTTTAGAAATAAATAGTCATGGACCTAAAGATTGCTTTGATGATTGTTCGCTGATGATTGGCTTTTACGAGTCGTAGCGATTTCTATACATTGTCTATCTAAACGAGACTAAAAGAATTTTCAAAAGTAAATGCGCAGAACTTAAGACTATAGTTTTTATGGGATACTTATGAACAGTCACACAACGCAACATAATTCACACAACACAACAATTCCGCTCGATCTGACCCACGTGTGCCAAGGTCTCCCACGGTTGTATTTACTTTATCGATATGACTTACTGCGTCGCCAGTTTGCCAAATATAGTGACCAAGGTTCAGCAAACCAGACGTAAGACGATACCGCTATATAACCAAGACCAGGATAAATGTGTGATTATATGACGAGCATAGCCATTTGCTCTACTTCTGGGTGTAATTTATCTATAAAATGTAGTAGTAGTAGTCATATAAGTATGTTAATCTGCAGTCTGGCTATCATAGTGCATGCTGTGCCTAGTTTGGGATTAGACGGCCGTGTGTGGGGTGGTTCAAGTTGCTATCATTATTCTGATATTGATAAAGGTAAAAGTGTTTTTTTTAAAATGATCAAGGTTTTGATGAAAAATAAATGGACAACTAAAAAAATATTATTACAAAAATACTGTACAGCGTGGGCAAGTAAATTTGGTAGATTTTAAAACTTCATTAAAAATAGTTAACAAAGATCTTCATGAAAATAAATATAATATTGATTTTTTCATGTGACATTATCCAGACCTTCGTAATTGCGTTGCAAATACCAATTTGAAGTCCACAATTAAGGAATTAATTCTGGACTCCAAATTGGTAAATATTACCAAGTGTAGCGGTGATTTTTCCTTGGATGTAGTCTTGAACTGAACCAACGAAGTTTGATTATTGTGGAAAACTTGATTTTATACGATGAAAAAAGTCTGGTGATGTCAGATTTGGACTTCAGCAATGCAATATCACTTTAGCGCGATAAGAGTTTTCCTCTTTCAATTTTGTTTAGACGAGATGTTTAGTTTACGACTGCCAATGAGTCAATAGATGTACAGTTTGCTGTGCTGTTTTCTTGAATCCGTATTGCACGGTTTCAAATTTTTACAGTTCCGTATTCAGCTATGTATCGGTTGTACTTGTATCAACACAAATTGACCTCGCTGATTTTCAAGAAAAAGTGGTCGACCTTAGAACGAAATGAAAGACATAGGAACCGCTATTTCTGTAGTAATTTTTAATACAGAACGCACGCTGCATACCCTCGAGAAGCTTCACGGCGACTCAATTTCCAAGACTACAGCTACTCATCCCGTTCTTGCGCACCGCTTTCTCATACCGGTCTAACGTGTTTTCGAAAGCCTACGTCTTTCTGGCCTACGTGATGTGAGTATAGATATAAAAAATTGTAACAATTTATATTTTGGGGTTAGGCACTAAACTTCATTTAAGGTGAAAAGTATTTATTGATAGTCACTGCATAATGAGTGTGTAAGGAGGTAGCAGAGGGCCTAGTATTAGTTTGTTTCACATCGACTCGATCGTCACGGTAACCACGTTCAGCATTGTGATTGGTGAAGCGAATAGATTTGAAATAAACTTGCACTCGGGCCTCAGATAAATAAGGCGGTCAATTATTTACGCAGTATTGTAAAAAAAGTAAACGCGTTTTCGCTCTATTTTTTTATGTTAGAGGAGGGGTTACAGGGGGCAGACGTGCAGACGGGTCACCTGATGGAAAGTGACCATCGTCGCCCATGAACGTCTGCAACTCAGGAGTCATAAACGCGTTGCCTACCCTTTAAGAAGGAGTACGCTCCATGATATATGCGATAAAGAATGCAGAGTGAAGCCACATCTCTACGTAATGCCAAGGGATCGAGCCGATCGGAGATGTTTGGGCTATCGACGATTCGAGTCACTCTTCGTTGGATGCGGTCCAGAGGGAGAAGTTGGTACTGAGGTACCCCTGCATAGAGATGAGAACAGTATTCCTTATGCGGCCGGACTTGCGCGATATAGAGTTGAAGGCGGTGGGTCGGAGTGAAATACACCGAGCTTCTTTGAGGCCAATTTGACCTTACCCTCTAAGTGACAACCCTCTAAGTGACAATAGCAATTGATGCTACTAGTTTACAACATTTCATTCATATGCAGAAGAAACAGTGTGATAGTACACAGCCTTATGAGACACCAGCATTTACGAATTTTAAGTCTATTTATACATTAACTTTCATACTTTACTTATCAAAAGGCGAAGCGACAACTGTGTCGATGTCTGGCGGGTGGGTTATGAATCTCCGAAAGGGTCACGTGTGTAAAATCATAAATCTATAATAAATTATGTTTAGTAAACAAAGCCTTTCTTAAAAGTAATTAATTTAGGAAGGAACGTTCTTTATCACTGAAAAAGAAATCGAAATCGAATTTAGGTCAAGTTCAATCATTTTACAATCTACATTTTTGGAATTGGTTAATGTAAATAACTTAATGTGTTTTTATTTGCATATTTTTTTATACCCAATTAAACAAAATATTCATCAAGTTCATATTACACCATAAGAGACCTGTAGAGTATGCAAAATTTCATTTCAATAAATGTCCAACTTAAAAAATATAATCTTAAAAACGAACACTATCGAACAGAAGCGGCTTTATTTTGGTAGTCGTTATCACCGCTAGCCTATTTCTGATAGATATCTCAAGTTATCAACTCTCTCTCATTTTATGAACTAGGTAAATAGGTTAACAAAAACCACCAAATGACATAAAGTGCTAATAAATATGCTATTTTAAGCTTCTCAATGAGGAGTTAGGTACAGGCTAAGTAAAAACATACTTAACAGATAATATGAGTACGCTTTATCTGCTAGGCCGATGGTCGAATGGGTCACGATACGATATGACCATAGCGATGACGATAGTATTATTCAACGTGTTGTTATCAATTACAGTTGTTATTGAATAGTTATCATTTTTGTCACTAAATAAACTTATGATTACTTCTACGAATTTTTAGGTGGACAACGTGATTTTCAATTTTGTAACTATTGTAAACAATATAAAAAAAACATAGGTGCAGATATTTTTAATACATGGTGTATATTTTTTTTTTTCGTTCAGAAACGTACCTGAATACGGAACCTCTTGAGGTTTATGAATATTTGCTAGAGGAATCCTAGACAAGGGTCTAGGATTTCTTGATGTACAAACTTTTAATGTTTTTTAAGCGAAATGCCATATACTCCTGGCTCCTGTGTTCCCAAGAAGCCGGAGACCCGAAGGGATTTTCCAGCCCGTTTAAAAAAAAGAGATCAGGTGGCACGTAAAGCCACAAAGCGGATGATAGAGATGGAATTTCAAAACTACGGATGGGTATAAATAGTATATTGTTCGAGTATAATCAAGAGCGTTAGATAAAATTATCATTAAAGTCAACGGTTAATAGTAAACGTTGATAACTGTTTTTTATCGGTAGAAAAATTGCAGGCATGCAGAAGCAATTGCATGATCTTCTGAACAGAAAGGGATAAACAGGAAAACTATTTTTTTTATTACTAAGAGTATACCTACTAGGAATTTTAAAAATAATGTATCTGTGTGTTTATAAGGAAATAAGAAAAACAATTTTTCTTTAATATAAAATACCAAGTTTTACTGATAACTTTAAAGGTTTATAAATACGTCATAAATGGTGACATTAGTATATTAATATATATTTCATGGCCAACCCATAATTACAAGAATACCAAAGGAATTTACTTGTTGCGTTTACTAGCAAGGTTTACCTTTAATTTTTTTCAAATTGATATAGGTAGGTAAGTTACGGTACGCAATAAAGACGAGTATTGTTGTTCGACTTAAGGGTTAGTTAATACTCCTATTATCCTAATACTCCATGAGTCTGGCACGCAATAAGCTCACTAATCACGTTCTGTTCTTAGCTTAAACGATCATTATTTTTAAATTACGAACGAGTTTAGGTTAGAAACAAAAACAGTTTAAAACACAGTTATTGTGTTGTAGCACAGTTAAAATGTTCTACGCTCATAGAACAGTTGTTTTTGTTTTTTTTTCGATAAAACGAAGGATGTTCCATCTCAGTAGTGTGCTCTTCTCAATCCAATCGAAATAGTCAATAGACTTCATCATCATCATCAACAACCTATAATATTTCACTGCTGGAGATATGTTTCAAGTTAGAAGGAGGTTTTGGCCTACTATACCACGCTGGTCCGACGGGTTGGGGTTAGTATAGGGTTTTAGGGGTGCTAGCTAGAAAACCTCCCCGTGGTGCACCCTGGAAACGCTGGCGATGGTACTCTTTCCTCCTTGTCCTCTTGGAGGAGAGGATTATCGCCAGCGGCCAATATTCTAGCAGAAGAGGTAGCCGTTCATCGGCTCTCGGGCAAGGCCTGGTCCAGCAGGGTGGGCGTGTCTGCCGGTTGCCCTGCTGGCTCTTCGCTCTTCGGAGCATGGAGGAGGAAACCTCGGTAAAAAACCGGATGGCGGGGCCCTGTAGGGGCCACAGTTTCTCCGCTGACAGCGGTGGAGTAAGGAGGACGGGCTCGGCGTGTACTAACACTACCACCGAGCAGGCAGGGGTACGTAGTCTCCCTGTCAATCGTCGGCATATCGTAATCCCGAGAAGAGCGCTGTGTTTAAGTCTCGCGGCTCTGATCGGGGGCGAGGGTCTTGGCTTAACCGCCCGGACCGCGAGGAAGATAACCTCTCTAAAAAATTCCCCGAATCCCGTGTTCTGGTGCGTGGCCAGGGGATGCATGGCTGATGGGAAGTTCAGTCTCGAGCGCACTCCAAGCCGAGGTACCTGCGGACCCCTCGGTTGGGTTAAAAACTTACGCTTGCCCGGGTAATGGGGGATCTCTGCCCGGGTGGACCTTTAGTTCTCCCCCACTCGTGGGATTATTATGGAACATGTTAAAAATATAGACAAACGATCGGAAAACCAAACACAACGGAAAAAGGCAAGTCAAACGGATACGGCAACGAAGGCAAGGAAGGAGAAGAAGAACAGTGGAGCGGATGGGTCGTCCACTGAGGGTGAGATGGTGTCAGGAACGCCTATCTCGATGGGGCTCCCAGAGGTCAGTCTGACTCTGGTCTCTGGGAGCCGAAGGGCATCGGATGGTTTGGGTTCCGGATCCGCCGTTTCATCGGATGGCGCGGACGCCATGGAAGCGGAGCGGAGCGACAGCCGGAAACGCGGACGCTCCAGGGAAGAGGGGACCGACACGTCCGGCGAAATGATGCCACCAAAGGTGGCAAGCAGCCGCCGAGGGAGGGGCACGTAAACCGGCCTCGGTCTCGACCCCGTCAGGCTCCGCGTTCTCAAACGCGGAGTCCTACAGGAGCGTACGAGTGGACGGCGAGGCCGTAGCGGAGGAGGAGATCGCGGATCTCCTGCTCAAGGTTCGGGAGCCGGTGGGGGGAAATGACCCCAGGCTCCCGTGTCCGTGCAGGAGAGGGTGAAAGCGGCGGTGGCCGTCATCGACAAGGTGGCCACCAAATCCGTGAACCTTAAGGGCTCGTTTGTGAGGGCCCTTAAGGACTCCTCCTCCGCTTTGTCGGAGGTCGTGGAGGGCCTAGTGGGCGACGTATCGCGCCTACAGGTGGCCAACGAGAAGCTGATGGAGCGGGTGAACGAGCTGAGCGCTCAGTTCGCCCGCTTCCAGGCGAACCTCCCCGAGCGGCAAGCCCCGTCCGCGTCCTAGCCTGCCCCTACCACCAACTCAGGGGCATTTGACTCCCAACTGCGAGAAATCCTCATCGCAGTTGGGAATATGCTGGACGGACGCCTGGCTGGCCTGGAGGCGAGACTGCCCCCTGCGCCGATTATGCGCCCCCCGCTCGCGTCGGCACAGCGGCCTAAGGCCGCCGCTCCGACCGCGCTCCCCGTTGTGGGAGGCCGCGTTTCTTACGCGGCGGCGGCGTCTGCCCCTACTCCATCGGCTCCACAAAAGCCGAGGCCCCTCCTCGGCTTTTCGGCCAAGGCACCGGCCCAGGCGCCGGCCAAGGCACCGGCTAAGGCGCCGGCCAAGGCACATCTCCAGGCGCCGGCCAAGACGGGGCCTAAAACAGCGCCGAGGAGCGGAGTGGCATTCCCTCCGCTCCCCACTCCGACACCCCTGCCGGGCCCCTCCGCACCTGCCCCCTCCAACGAGGGCTGGCAGGAGGCGAGGGGCTCCAAGAAGTCCCGAAGGCGGGCCAGAAGGGCTGCCCAAAAAGCAGCCCAAGCCCAGCCTTCGCCACCGGTGGCAACGGCCTCTGCAAAGAGGCCGCGGAAGCTGCAGCCGCCCAAAACCGCGGCTTGTAGTGGTGACCGTGTCCCCGGAGGCGGCTGACGGCGGGTTGTCCTACGCGGGCCGTTTTTAAAAAGGCCCGGGACAGCCTCGCCAACGACTTTGGGACGGTGGGGGTCAGGATGCGCCTCGCCCAAACGGGAGCTCGAGTTCTCGAGTTCCCAGGGGCTGAAGGCGCCAAGACGGCGGACACGTTTGCCGAGAAGCTGCGGGGACTCTTTACAGCTACGGATGGTGTAAAGATCGCCAGGCCTACTAAGTGCGCAGAGCTGCGCATCTCGGGCCTGGACGACTCCGGTAACGGCCGAAGATGTCCGCGCTGTAATCCGGGAGAAGACGGGGTGCAGCGCGGACAACGTTAGGGTCGGCACCATCCGCCCCGGTCCAGGAGGGCTTGGCGCCGTGTGGGTCAGCTGTCCCGTAGCGTCGGCCAAAGTATTGGCCGACGCCGGCAGGCTGCTCATCGGTTTCGTGAGCGCCAGGATCACAGTCCTGGCGGCGAGACCGATGAGGTGCTACAAATGCCTAGCATCGGGACACACGCGCGTCAAGTGCGACAGCTGTTTTGACTGCGGCGGACTGTGTTTCCGCTGCGGTCAACCGGGGCATAAGGCGGCAGAATGCTCTGCCGCCCCTCACTGCCCAGCGTGTGCGGCGGGCAATAAGCCCGCCAATCACCAGATGGGGCAGAGAGGCTGCAAGCCTCCCCGCAGTTCTCGGCAGACGTCAGGGGCTAGCCAGTCGACCCAGGCTACCCCCGACGTCAATATTGCGTCGACGTCCGTCGCCCATGGAGGAGGTTGTAGAGACGATCCAGTAATGGATCAAGTCTCCAACCTCCTGGTCCAGGACGAACCTGAACCACGTCATTATTTTTAGACAAATATAGCTATAATCGTGGGAGAGCCATGCTTCGGTTCATGTGGGCCAGCTCGACCAAAATTATCAATCAGAAACAACCTTCAACAAGTCTGCAGTCGTTGCTTTTTACGATAGGTGTGGTTTTTACGATTATAGATAGGTGTGGTACCAGAGGCCAGCCGCTCTTTTCTCCAGCGCAGCGCTCCTTTCTCTGGGAAGGTGAACTGGCCCATATGGGCCGAAGTATGGCTCTCCCACGATTATACCACTATGTGTTTATGTCGAAGTTAGATATCAAACGAGTACGAAAGGAGGTATAAAAAAGGCAGTTTCTTTCAAGAAGGTTCTGTCAAAATACACTATGATTTTAGATTTGATTTGAGTTGCAAGTGTCCATGGTTCAGTATTCACTTCCCGTCAGATGACTCATCTGTTCGTTTGCATAAAATATTCATATCACACATCAACAGCCTTAAATAGTCCACTGCTGGACAGGACTCTCCTTTGAAAGGAAGTTTTGGCCTGCTACTACGCTGGCCAGACGGGTTGGTAAAAAAAAATTCTTTGCAGTGCGGTTATTCTGCGTAGTTTTTTCCCTTAGTCGGCCTTTACGACACCTACGGAATGAATAGGGGTGGTCATATTCCATCACCACACGAAGAAAAATAAAATATTTCATCAAATTCAAAGTTTCATCCGCAACCCCAATGTAAATTTTACTTTTATGCATAAACAGACATACCTTTTTTGAAAGTGCTAATTAACATCTGTATTTATTATGTTCTTTAATTCAATTAGTCGTATATACAGATTTAATCTCACTATTTTAGAAGCACTAATATTCAGTTTTTCGAATTACAGAGAGCATATAGAGTACTTTTCAAAAATCTCTGGACCAAAAGGACTCGGTGGCAGTCTTTGAGCCGAGAAATTCGTCCGAAAATGATTCAGTAGGTATTGAAAAACAATTTTTCAGTTTTTTTATCTACGCTAATGAACAAGGGGTTGAATGCAATTAATTAAATTCAATCTGCAATTTATACCATTAAAGCTATCTGATATCTGACCTTTCAGTCTGAGGCCGAACACAGAGTACACCCTTAGAATATTTTCTTTTTCCGACCACTGTTGGGTGGCATTATCAGAATTGTCAGTATTTAACTTTATAGACAATTGGCTTTAACAGGATATAGCATTAGTGTTTTGCTTAGCATACTTTGTGCCAAATAATAAATACTCACGACTCTCGCAGAGATTCTCTTGTTGAGACCTTCTTCATTGACTGCACGGATTCGCTCTTCCAGTTCTGTCATGTAAGATTTATCCGTCAGCTTCACAAGGTTCGAACCCATATGTTTTTCCAGGCGTGCCCGGACATGTGGATGCGCGAAGCTGTTGACATCATTACAGTTTATTACCACAATCTTAAATCGTTATTCACAAAATTCATAAACAGTAGTACTTCTTAATAATCTCATTCACTGTTGTTCACGTAGTTTAATTCTTATCTGTCCCCTGTTAACAAATATCTATTGTTACTCATAGCTAATAATAGATCTAGACGAATATGAAGGAATTGAAAACTTTGGTGCCAATTTCTAAGAACTTCCTAAGGTAGAAAAAAGCGATAGGTATTATAAGGATATATTCATCTTTTATAAGAACTTAAAACTAATAACACATTAGTGACAGTAAAATATTTACACGAAAGGTAAATAAAAACATGTGTGCACGAAAACTATGGCTTGTATGTTAGGATCTCAGTTTTGACTCACCAGAGCCTTGAAGACTCATGAGGGCCCCGTTCTCCAAACGTTTTTGCGGAGCACTTGTTTATAAGCAACGTGCAGCCAGACGTCTCGCCGTAAAGTTTAGTAGTTTTGACGCTACATGCTCAGTGTCATAGTTGAGACCTTTATCGCGGTGTGGGATGGGCCTGGCACGGTATGGCACGACCGCCACCGACACTACATGTACATACAAATTTTGACTAAAGAACCATGTACATTTTGTTTTACGCCGGTTAGGAGATTTATTCTTCCCTCTGACGAAATGTATAAATGGCTTGCAGAAGAATACCTGATTATTTAAGCAATGAAGTAAATTTTGTTAGAGACCACATGCCACAAAAATATTATGTAACATTTCTAACTAAAGTATAGAAAAGCTAAAGACCATCACTTACTTGTCACTAAATATAGTTATTGATTTGGTGTTCTCGTGTTAATTAATTGTTTAACGATAGTGAGTAAATAAAATATTTTGGACAAGATTGGAAATACTGAGAGGTCGTGAAGTAGAATAAAAATATCATTGTACTACGTCCTAAATCTGGATAGATCGAGACATGTAAACAATTTAATTACATGCATACAAGTAAGTAAGAGAGAGTACAATCGTAGTGTGATATGTGCTTTACCCGTGGGAGAGTCATGCTACGGCACATATAGGCCGAATCTGCCGGAGTGATACCATGGCTTCACAGAAAATCAGCGTGAAGCAACTCCTCTAACTCGCTGGGCGCTCAGAGAGTTGCAACGCACGTTTGTCTCTTAAGTTGCTAGTGTCCATGGGTGTCTATCAGGTGACTTAACAGTTTGCACTCTACATTTAAAAAAACTGGTATAAAATGAAATCTTTGTCTATCTATCTAATACCTTTAATCTGAGTCTCGGAAACGGCTACAACGATTTTCATGAAATTTAGTATGCACGGGGTTTCGGAGGCAATTAGTCGATCTAGCTGGGTTTCATTTTTAGAAAATTTCCCAAAAAAAAATATACCGAGCGAAGCTCTGCCATCCAGGTACTGTTATTTAATCAATCAATATTTCAGTCTATTTAAAATTGTAAATTATTGTGTCAATGCACGGTTTCATGTTTAGAAAACAAACAGTTTATCATTGTAAAAGGTTCTTAAAATGTCGTGACTATTGAAAATTTAGTAAGCGCCATACATGGCACTAGTATGAGAATTTTTGAGTTACTACTCATGGAATGCATAACGTTGCATCTTTACGTACCTTCATTGAATAGAATCAAAGTAGGAAGACCACTTTTGCGTTGCAAAAGACTGCGAAGAACATGACATAGTGACTTTTCAAATCAGTTCCGACAGTTGGAAACATCGAGTTGGCGACTGCAACCAGTGCAGGAAGTCTTTGGCCAAAGGATGTAATATCTAAATGAGGTTCTCGACTTTCGCCAACAAAAATGAGCAGAGCGAGACACATTAGTAAAAGGGTTGCCTTACCAACTCAGGATATCAAACGGCTCTCAGTTAAAATTTTCTATTCAATATACAAAACACTCATCACTGAATTAATTAAAAGTTGAAACCTTATTCTTTCCAACTTTTTTATTTGCGAATTGCGAATAATTCTCCAAACTTTATGCTACGAGTATTATACAGCATAAAGTTTTGGCGCGCCCTATTAAGCCATAAAAGCAAAACAGTACAAGTTTCGATATCTTATTAACGGGCTTATAGTCATTGTATAACTTGATTTCTTGCTTTGCTTACTATTTTAAACGGTTTCTTAATGATGTAATAATTTAAAAAGATGTGATTTCTAGAGTTTTTCCATATGTTTCTTGTTCATGAGCTGCCATCGCGCGTGCTTCTAACTGTGTGGTGTGAACTTATATAACATATTATACTTAGAACTTCAAGAGAAAAATGCCAAGATAGCTCTCAGGCAGCACAATTCTTTTCCGATTTTTTCGCCACTTACCGTCTATTTGTTTATCTTTATAAATAATCAAAACCAGTTGAAAGTTATCAAATCAAAACTTTTACAAATAATTACAATTAATAAGTGATAGTAAACAATAAGTCGAAACCGCTATAATTTACATTTCATGGGGAATTGCCCCATAGGCATAACTCGTAGTAATCATGTCAACCAGCCAAACATTTGTCTACAGCATTTCGCTGGCCACAATGCAAGTTATATTTATTTTTATTAAGTTATTAATTCTACAAGTGACCTTTCCTAAAGGAGCGAAATGGTTGAAGTGCAAGTACGACACGTAAACAACATCAACAACAAAGTTAACGAAAAGCACCCGACACGCTTGTGTTATTTATACCTATTTAAGTCAAATATGTATGACATCATGTCGATATCGTAAGTTCTTAACCTCGCCCCGAGTACAAACCGAATGGAGAAAATGATAAGAATATTATTAACTGACACACGACATAAATTAGCAAACAAGCACGCCTCTCCACTTAAATTATTTTATTCTGTGTGTGTAATGTCGGTCAACTTCATTCTATTAGTCCTTGGAAAAAGATTTCCAAATAAAAACGACGGACAGAAAGAGAGTCTCTGCCTCACCCCGAAGGCGGAGCGAGGGGCTAGGTCTCCGTTAATTGTCACACCGGTTTTCTGTGAGGCCATAATCAGTCCGATCTAACCGGTACGTATGTATTGTCTCTCTCACGATAGCTTGTCTCAAACCTAATTCGGTTGATTTCTATGTAATAAATATGTACATTTACGTCCACTGATATTAAAGGGCAAAGTATGCCAGCGTTTCGTATTTCTATTAGAGGTAGTAAAATGTTAATCGATGCATTGCTTTTTTCACAGTCTTTAGATTCTCAGAGAATGGCACCAGAAGCGAAAATGTGAATTTGGTGTCGAAGTAAATATTTTGATTGCTAGGTCACGGCTTGATCACTCTATGAGATAAATCCATAACGTCCATAACGAGATCCCAATTGGTACGAGATCATAGCACGTATGTAAATCCTAATGGGTATACATACTTATAGGTTTTCACACAAATAAAGAAGAAGTTCCCTAAGCAGTCTCTACGACAATTATTTATTCAAATTTGTGCACGCATGCATATGTCATGTCATATGCACATGGCAATATTTCAGTAACTTTTATAAAAATCTTAAAAGTCCAATATCTTGAAAATGGTTAGGTTTTGGGATATGTTATTTTTATAGTGAAATCTCTTAGTAAAAATGGCTACTACTCGTACAACTCCCTAAAGTATCTGGGTCAACTTAACCAGTAACTTATATAAAATACTAAACAATCGGCACTAAATGTAAAATATATAGGCCTGATATTGTGTTGTTGAATTTTCAGCACCAAAACAAGTTAAATGTTCGGCAATAAGTTGTGAACCATATACTTATTATACAAAATACCTCTAAAGATTAAAGAAATGTTGATGAGGCAAACAAGTCGGTATCAGAAGAATTTTATCTTAACCCTAATTAGAAAAGGTCACAATTATAAAAAAAAACTCTGGCAATAATATTAAGATTAGCCTAAAACTTCGCAACTCATATGAGAGTAATGTTATAAACATGCATATATACGAGGGCTGCTATTTATGTATCCGGAACTGGGGCCTTACTCTTGAATTCGATTCCGATCGATCGACATTGGAATTGTGAAGTTTCGTACTCTTGAATTCGACACTAGCACCATATTGAAATCAAATTGGGTGACGATTTGGAGAACTAACTGAAATCGAAATTACCAATCGCCACACGCAAACGGTACTCTTGAATTTTTTGACAGCTTGTTTGACAGCGATAAATTGAGTTCGTATCGTTTGGAAATTGGGATTTACTCAATAGCCGAAGTGTAACTTTTTTGAAATTGTTTCACGTTTCATGTGGTTTTAACTGAACTATAAGTGGATAATATGGCTCGTTTAGTAGTAATGTACAATATTTTACGTAAAACTAAAAAAAATGTGTTAAAACTGAGACGAAATGTGCGTCGAATGATGCGATATACGGAGAAGGCGTTCTCTATAAGTGAGGAAGAATTTAAAGCCAATTACCGAGTGAGCAAATATTTATTTGAGGAAATTTCTGAAAATATAGCCTTTTATGCCAACTCCTAAGAGAGGAAGTGATATATCACCGAAATATAAGGTATGTTAACATTAAAACTTGTAAGGTGTACATACTTATTTTTTTGTGAGAAGATTAACTTAATATTTTCATCCAAATTGTAGATTCTAGCGGCACTATCGTTTTTTGCGACTGGAAGTTACCAAAGGCTGGTTGGAGGCACATATGGCACTCTGATGTTGCAGCAATCTGTATCTCGCGCTATCAAAGAGGTTACAGCAGCTCTCAATAACCATTATGTTCAAAAACAATGGATTAGGTTTCCTCAAACCCACCAAGAAAGAGATGCTATTAAAACATGGTACTGTAAAAGTTCTACTTATCTAGAATACTGTATAATATTGCTAAAAGTAGCCTAAAATATAGTATATGGAAGTAATTTTAGTTGAGACACTTAGCTTTAAGCATGTAAATGTAGTGTAGTACTCCCTAAGTGTCTATTGTATGTAATACGCTTATAACTATAATAAAAGTATTTTGAATTTGTATGTAATAGCTTT